TCCTTTCCTTTCCTTTCCTTTCCTTCCCTTCCCTTCCCTTCCCTTCCCTTCTCTCCTCTCCTTGCAATTGCTTTCATTTCAGACCTGATTGGGGCCATAAGTTTGGGGGTGGGAGGGGGAAACCAAAAATAACAGTTGCACGTTTCTAGTGCTATTCTTGGAAAATCCATTGCATAGGGTCAAGTCTATTGTTTGCTTATGAATTTAATGGAGCTCACACGGAAGGCAAGGGCTATGTCGAAACATTTCCCTAAACGTCATTCATATATTATTACGATAAGTTATTAGGGGTGCTAAATGCAGACCTTTGCTTGCAGTGCAAGATCCAAAATCCCTGACAAAGCAGAAGGCTTGAGCAGACTCTATCAGTGTCTTTTCCAAAATCTTCATCATCTTTTAACGATCCCATAATCCCTTGCGGGGTGGAGTCTGGGCAACTGAATGGAGCTAGCAGAGTGTTTAATGGCCGGATGCCTTTCCTGTTACCAATGTGGAGTTTTGTTCAGCAGATATATTCTAAGTGTGCCCAGAAAGAGAAATATCTGCCTCTACTTAGGATCGAACTCACAGCCTCCTGACCGTAAGGCGAGAGCTCCACCTCTAGGCCACCACACCACTCCACAATGGCAAAGTTTGTGTGGTATTATTTTTACAATGTTTGACTAGCACACAGGAAATGCACCAGAATGCAGACGTATAACTGCATCTTGTGCTTTATTTAGGGAGGATTAGCTTCAATTAAATTTTTTGAAGAATTATCACTTGTTTTTATACCATGATAATACAGGGCAAATAAAAAAGGAACTGAGCAACGCACTGATTGTCAGTTACAGGTAGTCCTTGACTTAGAATCATTCATTTAGTGACTGTTCAAAGTTACAACAGCACCCAAAAAAAGTGACTTATGACAATTTTTCACACATACGACCATGATCAAAATTCAACCACTTGGCAACTGGCTCATATTTATGACGGTTGCAGTGTCCCGGGATCCTGTGCAGTGGTGGGTTCCTCCCGGTTCCGCCCGGTTCCACCGAGCTGGTAGCAGTGATGATATGATGTCACCGAACCGGTTCTCCCCCCACCCGCCCACCCCCACACCCCCCTGCATTATTCTTACCTTTTATTTGGCCCCACCCTCAATCTATTGCTGCCTCCTGAGTCCCAGGTGATCGGCTAGAGGGAAAAAAACTGTTTAAACTCTTGCCACGAGGCTTCAAAGGGCCGCCCTACAGCTGATCAGTGTTAAAAGAAAACAAATGAGTAGACTGGTGCCTCCAAAAAGAAATGAGTAGACCGGTAGAGCTCTGCAAGCAGTTAAAAGCCTGGTAGACCAGTACCTCTGCTAAATCCTAAAGAATTGTCACATGACCATCAAGCCACACCCACAAAATAAGCCACACCCACAGAACCGGTAGTAAAAAAATGTAGAACCCACCCCTGATCCTGTGATCCCCTTTTGCAAACTTCTGACAAGCAAAGTCAATGAGGAAACCAGATTCACTTAATAACCCTGTTGCTAACTTAACAACTGTGGCAAGAAAGATCATAAAATGGGCCAAAACTCAATTAACAAGTATCTCCCTTGGAGATCGGAATGGAAATGTTGGGGTCAATTGGGGTCATAAGTGGAGGACTATCCATATCAGCATAATTCTGTCCTGGGTGGAAAAGAAGTTAAGATATGCTTAATTGGACCATATACTAACTTTGCGAATTTAATATCAAATGGTTCGGTTCAGTGGTGGGTTTCAAAATTTTTTACTACCGGTTCTGTGGGCGTGGCTTGGTGGGCGTGGCATGGCTTGGTGGGCATGGCTTGGAAGGCGTGGCATGGGAAGGATACTGTAAAATCTCCATTCCCTCCCCACTCCAGGGGAAGGTTACTGCAAAATCCCCATTTCCTCCCGATCAGCTGGGACTCAGGAGGCAGAGAATAGATGGGGGCGGGGCCAGTCAGAATTTTTATTACCGGTTCTCCGAACTACTCAAAATTTCCGCTACCGGTTCTGCAGAACTGGTCAGAACCTGCTGAAACCCACCTCTGGTTTGGTTCAACCAAAAGGAATCATGTCAGGATGTATGTGGTGCTCTCTGGTTGTTTTCTTGCAGACGTTTCATTACCCCTACTAGTAACATTATCAGTGCTAGAATGGAGTGACCTCTCTGTTTATAGACAGTGGCTTGCCCTGCCAATGTTGGTGGAAGTGTTGTTTTCTTTATGGTAGTTCCTTGGCTAGGCTGTTATTTATTGTTTGATTGTCTGGGTGGTTGGTTGTTTCTTGACTGGGATACTGTTTACCACTTGATTGTTGGTCTGGCATTACCAATTGATAATTTATTTATTTATTATTTGTATCCCCTCCTTTATTATTTTTTACAAATAACTCAAGGGAGGGGGCAAACATATCCAACACACCGTCCTCCTCCTATTTTCCCCCGTAACAACAACTCTAACAAGGATTGGGCTAAGAGAGAGTGATTGCCCCAAATTCACCCAGCTGGTTTTCATGCCTAAAACAGAACTACACCCAGAGGTGGGCTGCTTCCGGTTCGGACCGGTTCAAATGAACCGGTAGTTCTGACCTCCGGCTGGGCCCGCCCACCCACCGCGGTGCTATCCCGTCCTATATATCTCACTCTCTGGCTTGCTCGCCCCGCCAACACAGTCCAGCTGATTTCCGCACCTTGCCCGCTCTACTCACCGCGGCTGCCTGAGAAAGTGTGCTGGAAGCTGCGTGCAGGAAATCGCTCTGTGCTTGAAGCTGCGCGCAAGTGTGGAAGGCGTGCACTCACATTTTCGGTTCTGCACTAGGCGAACCGGTTGTTAAATCATTTGAAGCCCACCTCTGACTACAACTCACATTCTCCTGGTGTTTGATCCAAAGTCATTCAGTTGGCTTTCATGTTTAAGGCAGGACTAGAACTCACTGTCCCCTGGTAATTGTTCCAAACTCATCCAGCCAGCTTTCATGTTTAAGGCAGAACTAAAACTCACTGCCTCCTGGTGATTGACCCAGAATTAACTAGCTTGTCAGAGATCTTACAGCATTCTGAAAATATCCTTTACATAAATTTCTCCTTGCTTGAAACAGCTCAATTTTGAAAAGTTAAATCGGTTTGCTGAATACAAAATCCATTAAACACACCAACATTTAAATCGGAATCACCATATTTGCAGAAAGATACTTGAAAACAGAAATGTTTCTTCTTCCCTTCTAAGATTGTATCTGCTTAATTCAAGAATTGGTGATTTAAGCAGATTCTATTAGCTTCGATTCTACCTTCTAAGGGAAAATCAAGTAATGTGGTGTCCTCACTTCTCTGTCCTTCCTCTCCTCTGCAGGGCAGCTGCTATGTGCCATCAGAAAACTGCAGGCAACATGCCCACAAGTGGCATAAAGACCTCTGCCTCCTACTCCTCAGTGCCCACCGAGGACTTCAGGGCTACTACGCTACCATCACAAAGGAGGTTCCCAGTTTGCCACAGCTGAAGTTAGGTATGTGGAGGGTTGTGAATTGAGAACAATACACAGCATCTTCTTCAGGGGTGGGTTCTACTTACCCTTAATACTGCTTTGCAACGGGACCACGCACATGCGCAGAAGCTTCCTGATGACGTCGGGGTCGGTGGGTGGAGCCTCCCTTCTATAGAACCGGTCTGAACTGGATGGCAACCCACCACTGATTTCTTCTCATGCTAAGGTCAACACTAGGACAGCTTCACTCTTCCAATTTGCCCAGGTCACATCTTTTAGCTCAGTGTCAGGCTTCTCCCGGCTGGAGTGTTTAGGAAAGAAAGACCCTTGATTCCATTTTTAAAGTGAAAGGTTCACTTTTACTAAAGTCAAGCGGTTACAGAATAAGCAAAGCTGGATCTGAATATTCCTGTGCAGAATCTGCGTTTTCTACCATATCTTATAGGTCGTGAGATATGGTAGAACCTAGAAATTTGAAGGTCTCTACTGTTGATACTGTGTTGTCTAGTATTGTAAGAGGTGGAAGTATGGAAGGGTTTCTCCTAAAGTCCACCATCATTTCTACGGTTTTGAGTGTATTCAGTTCCAGATTGTTCCAGTCGCACCACGAGGCTAGTTGTTCAACCTCCCGTCTGTATGCGGATTCATCATTGTCTCGAATGAGACCGATCACTGTTGTGTCATCTGCGAACTTCAGTAGTTTAACAGATGGATCGAACAGATGAAATATTACTTCATCATCCTCTATTAATAAATCCTAATACAAATATACTACAGTTCATCCTCGACTCACAACCGTTCGTTTCGTGACCCTTCCAAGTTACAATGACACTGAAAAAAGTGACTTATGACCATTCCTCACATTTATGACCATCGCAGCATTCCCGTGGTCATGTGATCAAAATTTGAATTCTAGGCAACTGGTTCATATTTATGATGGCTGCTGTGTCCTGGGGTCATGTGATCACCTTTTTGCTAAATCAGAGATCTTCAAACTTGGCAGCTTTAAGTCTTGTGGACTTCAACTCCCAGAATTCTCCAGCCAGCTGGCTGGAGAATTCTGGGAGCTGAAGTCCGCAAGTCTTAAAGCTGCCAAGTTTGAAGACCCTTGTGCTAAATCAATGGGGAAGGCAGATTTACTTAACAACCATGTTGCTCACTTAACAAGTACAATGATTCACTTAGCAACGGTGGCAAGAAAGTATGTAAATGGGGCAAAAGTCACTTAACAACTGTCTCACTTACCAACGTAAATTTTGTGCTCAATTTTGGTCATAAGTCAAGGACTACCTCATGTCCCAGGACCTAATCTCCATGTTCATTTAATTTAGTTGATTTAGTTGTTTTGTTTTAATGCAATAATTGAATAAAATCAATGTTGCATTCAATCTCTTGGTTGAAGGGGTTTTTTTTTTCCCCAGAGGTTTATGTAATATCAAAGAGTGACTCACGACATGCCTGTTATTCTTGGAAACAATATAAGAGTCATATCTGACAGGGTTTTTTTCTTCTGTAATTTGATTTTTCTTAGCCCGCTTAGAAACGGGCATGTGTATGTGTTTAAGTACAGACCCAAAGTATTATTACATAAAAACAAGAGTTGGAAGGGACCTTGGAGGTCTTCTAGTCCAACTCACTACCGAAGCAGGAGATCCTATAACATTTCAATCAAATGGTTGTCCAGTCCCTTCTTAAAAGCTTATTTAGAATGCAATTTCTCCCATAGGATTGTTTTCTGTATGCAGTTTTTCTTAATGTACTATACTAATTTTTTTATAACAGCTACAGAACACACAATAATTTGCTCAAAGCCCCCACCCAAACAGAACACACTCCCAGCCAATCAGAGCACAGCCAAGCCCCCAACCAATCAGAACACACTTCCACCCAATCAGAACACAGCCAAGCTCCCAACCAATCAGTTCACACCCCCACTAGCAGTTAAAAGGAAGAAACAGCTGCAATTACACATTGCTCCTAGAAGCACAAAGCCGAAAACACCAGCCTGAAGATGACGAATGAGACTTCGTCGAAACGTCGCCAAGACACTTCCAATTTTACGCAGGAGAAAACCCGAATAACCAAAGACCTACATACAAACACCCGCGAAAACCTCAGAATATAATTTATATTTTGCTGATAAAGAAATAAAGGGAGACTAGTATAGATCTATTTCAAGCTTTTTAGCTTTCATCAGCTAGCCATACCCTTACTCGGATTCGAACTTGGGCTTCCTGCATGTTAGGCAGTTGAATTATGCCCCCTCCCACATGTTGGGGTAGACCATGTGTTTCGATAGAAAAACACTTAATCTCTCCCCTGGCTCAAGCTGACGAAAGGAAGAGAACTTGTGGCTCAGAAGGTTAATTCAACTGCCTAACATGCAGGAAGCCCAAGTTCGAATCCGAGTAAGGCTATGGCTAGCTGATGAAAGCTAAAAAGTTTGAAATAGATCTATACTAGTCTCCCTTTATTTCTTTATCAGCAAAATATAAATTTGGTATAAAATGGTTTGTCGTGAATGCGACTGCTTGAGGGCTCCTAGATTGGAGCTGAAAGGCGAAAGGGATGCAGTATGCTCCCTCCCACATGTTGGGGTAGACCAGGTGTCTCGATTGAGAGTATCTTGGCGACGTTTCGACGAGGTCCCACTCGTCATCTTCACTGGTGTCTTCGGCTTCGTGCTTGTGTGAGGAAAGCGTGATTGGAGCTGCACCAGTACCTCTCTATAAATACTGGTGGGGAGGTGTGGGGTGCTGGCTTTGTTGCTGTGAGCGGGTTGGTTGCCTATGTTGTTACATCTTGATTAGTTGATGGAGTTGATGTTTGCAGATTAGTCAGTTGTTTCGTAACATCTTCCTTCCTTCCTTCCTTCCTTCCTTCCTTCCTTCCTTCCTTCCTTCCTTCCTTCCATCCATCCATCTCTCTCTCCTTCCTCCTCCTCCTCCTCCTCCCTCCTCTTTTACCACTTCAGATGTCAAGGGAGATAAAAACTTCTGATTTTTGTTCTTCTGGCAGCCTCAACCATTGTTAATTGAAGTGGTTGTAGTGTGTCATTGAAAGTGAATAATGGAATAAATTAAATTAAATCATTACCAAAGCCCTACATTATCCTCCTGGAATGAATAGATAGTTGAAATTTCTACATAACAAAACATCAATAATAATCTGAGATATCAGGTCAAGAGATTATAATTATATGTTAAGGAAGAAATTTTTATGTCTGCTCATTTTTGGGGCGGGGAGGGCATTCCCCAATTGCTTATAAGTAGAACAATTCACGGAAGTAATATATTTATGTTGTTGCAAGTGTTCCTGTGAAAAATGACCTTCGGCTCACTCTTAATTATGCAGGGAGTTGTGCATTTCTCAAAGACAACATTTTGACATCTTATTTGGCAATTGTTAAGAAGCTGTCAGTCTAAACCAAAGTATGTCATCTGAATTTCAAGTATGGCATCTTTAGTGATTACATCTCCCTTTCTTCCTCTCTCTTTCTCTCTGGCCTCCCGTGTTCTGATTTCGAAGCAGGAAATCCCTTCTTAAGGCGCGATGCTACCGTGTTTTCCCGAAAATAAGACCCTGCCTTATTTTATTTTATTTTATTTGAAACACGATATAAGCGCTTGGCACTTAACATCCGGGTGGGTGGGCTGAGCCTCCCCCTGGTTTTACTACCGGTTCACAAGAACTGGACTGAACCGGGGGCAACCCACCACTGCTACAGATGGTGTTAATATTTATGTGTCTATTGATGGCTGATTTGTCAGAATGCCAGGCTTCTAAAAATTCCCTGGCAGTTTTGGACTAGGCCTGGTCTACAATGGTCACATTTTCCCAATTGAAACTATGGTTAAATCTGTCTACCGTGTTTTCCCGAAAATAAGACCCTGTCTTATATTTTTTGAACCCTGAAATAAGCGCTTGGCCTTATTTTCGGGAAGGTCTTATTATTTTGGGGCGCACGGAGCAAGACGGGGCTCCTCTTGCCGTCTTATCTGATTTCCAGCTCTGTCTCCCTTACCCTAATCAGAGAAAATGGCGGCTGCACATGCATTTAAATATTTTGGGAGGGCTTATTTTTTGGGGGAGGGTATTTTAGCACGTGCACTCAAAAGCCCGATTGGGCTTATTATTAGGGGATGTCTTCTTTTCGGGAAAACACCGGTATTGCTTCTCTGTGTATTTTATAATCAAGTTTTAAAGTTTAAGCAAATGATAAAAATGAAGATGATTCCTTACAAACGAAGCTTCCTTACTGTTCCGTATGGTTTCCTTGGGAACAACCTGGAAGCGGTTTGCCATTGATTTATTTGTTTCTGACTAAATAAGTCAGAACTTAATTAACCTTTTCTGATCAGTCAAGTGCTGATGGGGAAAAAAAAAGAATGAATACATTTTTAATTTGCACGATTTTATCTACGAAGAATCTTATAGTTTCTCCGATTCCCTGATTGTGCTTTGACAAGATTTGACAATGATTTTCCTCTTTCTTGTGTTTTTGTTCAGGGTATATGCCTCACAGAATCAATTTTCCTATTCTTTTTCATTTTTATTTTTAGAAGATCTGGCGGTGGAACAGACGCTATCACAACTTTCTGAAGACCTGCAGGTATTTCTACACAGCTAACACTGGGAAGTAGTGTTAACGTCAGATACAAAAATACAATAAGCTGTATCCTATTAATTTTAACACAAAATTTACAAGGGTTTATTTTTAGAGTGGTCAAATTTATTTCCATTCATTGTAGCCTACCTTTATTCACTCCTGTTTTGTTTTCTGTTTCAACATTTATTTGTTGTTATTTATATATACAGTAAGGGGATGCGGTGGCTCAGTGGCTAAGGCACTGAGCTTGTCAATCGAAAGGTCAACAGTTCAGTGGTTTGAATCCCTAGTGCCATGTAACAGGGTGAGCTCCCATTACTTGTCCCAGCTTCTGCCAACCTAGCAGTTCGAAAGCACATAAAAAATGCAAGTAGAAAAATAGGGACCACCTTTGGTGGGAAGGTAACAGTGTTCCGTGTGCCTTTGGCATTGAGTCATGCTGGCCACATGACCACGGAGACGTCTTCGGACACCGCTGGCTCTTCAGCTTTGAAACGGAGATGAGCACCGCCCCCTAGAGTCGGGAATGACAAGCACATATGTGCGAGGGGAACCTTTACCTTTACCTATACATACAATATATAAAATATGATCCAGCAGTGTGTGTCTGTACTTCAAGAGAGACAGAGACAGAGACAGAGACAGAGAGAGACAGAGAGAGACAGAGAGACAGAGAATGGGGAGGGGAGAGATGGACAATCAGTTAAATATTAGCCAGCAGTGTATGGCAGCAGTCAAAAAGCCAATTCAATGCTAGGTTGCATTAACATAGGGGTAGAATAAAGATCATGTAAAGTAGTAGTAATGCTTTATAAAGTTTTAGTAAGACACAGTTACAGTACTGCATCCAGTTTGGTCATCATATTATATATGGCCTAGGACTGGGGTATCTACGAGACCGCCTTCTGCCACAAGTAGCCTCTCACCGACCAGTACACTCCCATAGAGAGGGGCTTCTTAGGGTGCCGTCGGTCAAACAGTGTCGACTGGTGGCCCCCAGGGAGAGAGCCTTGTCTGTGGGAGCACCTGCCATCTGGAACGAGCTCTCCCCGGAGATACGGAGGATCACTGATCTGCGTGCTTTCCGCCGTGCCCTCAAAACATTCCTATTCCAGCAGGCCGGCCTGGCCTAACCTCTTTTTAAAATTGTTTTTAATTTTTTTAAATTTTAAATTTGTCTTATAAAATTGGGGTTTTTAAATTTTGTTTTCTGGGCCAAATTATTTAATTGTATTTTAATGGTTTTTTTAACATTTGTATTATATGTATTTTATCTTTTGGCTGTTCACCGCCCTGAGTCCTTCGGGAGTTGGGCGGTATATAAATTCAATAAATAATAAAATAATAATAAATAATAAAATAATAAAAAGATGTTGAAACTCTGGAAAGAGTTCAAAAAAGAGTAACAAAGATTATTAGGGGGCTACAGGCTAAAACATGTAAGGAATGGTTACAGGAATTGGGCATGTCTAGTCTAGTGAAAAGAAGGACTAGGGGTGACATAATAGCAATGTTCCAATATTTGAGGGGCTCCTACAAAGATGAGGGAATCAAACTATTTTCCAAAGACCAAAAGGCAAGACAAGAAACTATGGATGGAAACTAACCAAGGAGAGAAGCAACCTAGAACTTAGGAGAAATTTCCTAACAAGGAGAGCAATCAACCAATGGAACAGTTTGCTTCCAGAAGTTGTGAGTGCTCCATCACTGGAGGTTTTTAAGAAGAGACTGCACAGCCATTGTCCAGTAGGTATAGGACCGTGATGGCTAACCTTTTTGCCGTCGCGTGCCAAAAGTGGGGGGAGCGTGCGGGGGTCACGTGTGCTTGTGCCCATGCCCATAATTCAATGCCCCCATGCCCCCCCCACGCATGCAAGTGCGATCCCCCCACACTCCCCCCGCTTTTGGCACATGACGGCAAAAAAGTTACCGGTGGGCCTGGTAGGCCTGTTTTTCACCCACCCCAGGCTCCAGAGGCTTTCTTGGAGCCTGGGGAGGGTGAAAACGGCCTTCCACACCACCACCAGAGGCCTTCTGAAGGCCCCTCCGGTAGGCCCGGAAGGCCCAAAAAACAACTGGCCGGCACGCACATGTGCGTTGCAGCTGAGCTAAGGCAACACTCGCATGCCCACAGATATGGCTCCACGTGCCACCTGTGGCACGCGTGCCATAGGTTCGCCATCACGGGTAGAGGGTCTCCTGTTTGAGCAGGGGGTTGGATTAAAGGACCACCAAGGTTCCCTTCAAACTCTGTTATTCTGAAAATTTGCATATTCCTGGGAGGTTTGAATCTATTCTACAGCAATTTGACCCCGAACTTCAAGTCACTTTTCTGTTTTTTTTCTGTATCTTCAGGCCTTCTGAACAACCATAGAGGAAGTGAGGAGATGTTGAATAGCACATTTCTTTCCCACCTTCCATAAATATTTTGCACCTGCCATGCCACCTAATTCACTCAATTAATCAGCAAGGCAGTATTTTGGCTTGTGGCTGATTTTTCCCACAAATCCGAGAGCTGAACAAGGTCAGAATTATATGAACAATTCATTCTAAAAGAAATTAAACAAAAGAAGAAATATAGAACCCGGGAAGTTTTCTATTATTGTTAGAACCAAATTTTGATAGTGTGACCAGCTTGGAAAGGTATTCTATAATATCTACGGTAGGCTTTAGAATTTGATGATGAGGGTGAAGATGATTGTTCATTCTTATTTTGTAGATTGTGATCATCATCATCAACTTCACCATCTGTGAAGTTTCCGAAAGATGCCCTAATTAATTCATGAGCCATGAGCCGAACTTCAAAAGAAATACAGTCATTTATTAGGAGCACCATTTCGGCAATTTTCGGATGCAGTTAGAACTAATCCCACGTAGATTTACGTTCCCCTATAACCCTGTCTCTCGCCTCCTCTCTGGCCATGACATAAATCACATTCTCCAATTAATCACTTTGGCTGGTTGTGAAATCCAACACCCTCCTTCTGATTGCGGTCAGGAAGAATGTATGGAATGCACTTCCGTTAGGGAAATCAATCAGCTCTATCAGTTCTCCCTCCCTCCTGCTCATGGCAACTTGAAAGCTTTGCAAGTTGACACCATCATCTTCTTAATCATCATCATCATTATCATCATCATTTTCATAATCATATGATTATTTATTTGTCAAGCATATATAAGATAACAGGTAAAAGTATAAACATAATTAGAATACATGAAAAGAGTAAGTAAAAAGGAATATTAGGACGGGAACAGTAGGCACACTGGTGCACTTATGCACGCCCCTTACAGACCTCTTAGGAATGGGGTGAGGTCAACAGTAGGCAGTTTAAGGTTAAAGTTTTGGGGGTTTGGGGAAGAAACTACAGAGTCAGGTAGCGCATTCCAGGCATTGACCACTCTGTTACTGAAGTCATATTTTCTGCAATCGAGTTTGGAACGGTTTACCTTGAGTTTGTATCTATTATTTACTCATATATTGTTGTGGTTGAAGCTGAAGTAGTCATTGACAGGAAGGACATTGTGGCAGATAATTTTATGTACTATGCTTAGGTCAGACTGAAGTCGGCATAGTTCTAAGTTGTCTAAGCCCAAAATTTGGAATTTGAAGCCTGGTGGCATAAAGTATTTTATTGCGGTTAGAGGAATGGAGGACACTTCTCGTAAAATATCTCTGGACTCTCTCGATTGTATTTATGTCCGATATGCAGTGCAGGTTCCAGACAGATGAGCTGTATTCAAGAATTGGTCTAGCAAATGTTTTGTATGCTGTAGTTAGTAGTACAACATTGCCAGAGAAGAAGCTATGCAAGATTAGGTTAACAACTCTTAATGCCTTTTTGGCAATGTTGTTACAGTGGGCTCGGGTACTTAGATCTTTAGAAATGAGTACTCCAAGGTCCTTGATAGAGTGAGGGTCATCTACAAGGTCATGTCCATCTAATTTGTATTTTATGTTTTGATTTTTTTTGCCGAATGTGCAAGACAGAGCATTTGTTGGTTGATATTTGAAGTTGCCCCTTGTTAGACCAATCTGACACATAGTCAAGGTCTTTTTGAAGGGTAGTTGAATTGTCGGTGGTGTTGAATAGTTTAACATCATCAACGATGAGAACACAGTTCCTTTTAATATGATCACAAAGGTCATTTATGTAAGTATGAAGTATTTTGTGTAGGAGTTTGTATTAGATGAGTCTGTGATGAGTATTCACCTACAAACATTACTCAAATATTTTATCTGGCTATAGTACCTTAATAATTTTTCTCTCTCAAAAATGAAAAGAAAGCAAAATACATGTTTGTATTTATCCTTGATTCTATGAGCTTCACAGGCATATTTTGCAGAATAAGCAAATCTCTCTGATTTCTCCTTCCAAGTGTGATCCTAGCTAATTAGGGATCACAAAATGTTTTTTAATGACACAACAGCAGCAAGGACAAATATATAGCTGCAATGACATCAGTGCTTCCTGGATTCAAGGTGTAGATGATTGGCCAATTTAAAATACCTTGTCTAAGTAATAAAACTGTAGACAAAATTTAGAACACAACGGAACAGAATTGGAAAGGACTTGGAGGTCTTCTAGTCCAACCTTTTTTTTTTTTTTTAATTTGATTTATATGCCGCCCTTCTCCGGAGACTCAGGGTGGCTTACAATGTGCTCAGCAATAGCCTTCATCCTTTTGTATATTTATACAAAGTCAGCTTATTGCCCCCACAACTGGGTCCTCAATTTACCTACCTTAGAAAGGATGGAAGGCTGAGTCAACCTTGAGCCTTGGCGAGATTCGAACCTGCAGTAATTGCAGGCAGCTGGTCTTAATAACCAGCTTAATAACAGGGTGCCTTAGACCACTGTACTACCACACCTTCTGCTCAAGCAGGAGATCTTCTACCATTCCAGACAAATAGCTTTCCAATCTCTTTTTAGAAGCAAAGTTTAGAACAGACCTGGGCATTTAGAAGAGTCATGGTGGCACAGTGATTAGAATGAAGTATTGCAGGCTAATTCTGCCCACTGCCAGCAGTTCAATTGTCACCGGATCAAGGTTGACTCAGCCTTCCATCCTTCCGAGGTCGGTAAAATGAGAAGCCAGATTGTTGAGTTCAATTGTTCTGATCTAGGCTTCCTGAGTCATTAAAACACATGAGTAGTACCAAAAACCTCTTTTATTGCAACAGCTGTGAACTCTGTTCATTCACAGATGAGTCCTAATTAATTATAAAGAGTCCTTCGGGATAATCACCCACCTTTATCTCCCTTGACACGCTGCCAAAGAGCTAATTGGTAAAGCCACATGGAGTCCAGAATCAAACAGAGCTTCAGGCTTTAAGCTGAACTGAATGAACAAACGGTGCTTCCTGCAAAGGCCCATGTGCCTTTGTTCCTCTTTTAAGTCTTATGGGAGGGGCCAGTCATCTCCCAGCCCTACTCCCAAGTCGTCCCTTTTGTTTTAGCTGTTCTTGCCTTCTGGCAGCTCTGCACATGCACGCACTGGGAACAGGTTCCCCCTGTTCCTCTGCCTCGCTGAGGTCCGATTCTGGAGGCTCCGGAGGCAGCACGTACCTCCCAGATGGCCCTTTCTCTGCCTCCAACACAGAGCCCTCGTCTGAGCCTTCCCCAAACTCCAGGACTGGCCCATGTTCCTCTCCAGCCTCCTCACTGTCAGACTCTGCTGCCAGCTCCGCAGGATGCTGGCGGACCACAACATCAACATGCTGACTTAGAGAAAGGTGTAAAGCACTGTGAAGTGGTATATATAAGTCTAAGTGCAATTGTTATTTATGGCGTCAGGTCCACATCTGGCCCTTTGTCTGTCCCTGTCCATCCCATGTAGATTGCTTTTATTTTGAAGACAACTTTTTCTTTAATTTACATAAATTAATGTATGGCTTTGCATTTTCACAGCCCTATTGGTTCAGCCCTCCATAACAATTCCAGTTTCTCCTGTGGCCCCTTATGAAAACTAGTTGCCCACCCCTGATTTAAAAGCACGTGTTATTCTAATAAAGGAGAATATTTGTAGCTCAGGGTTGAAATGAGAGCTTCTGGACCTAACAGAAAAGTTTTGGCCTCATAAAAATCTTAATATATTATACAGAGAAATTACCTGTATAATCATGCTTTATATTACAGGATAACGCATTGCCATCTAGTGGTTAATTTGTAAATAGTCACCATTGCCTGCACCGAAATATCCAGAAATAAAGATTTGATAGCCTACCAATATTCAGATTTTGTTCTCAGGCATGTTTCTCCATTTCTCATCCAGGGAAATATAATATTCTACCTTTTTAATAGTTCTCAAAATTATTTCATTCTTCTAGGAGAGATGTGGGTGCTAACTTTCTACAATGGAGAAATGTAATGAAAGCTTGTGGAGTTATTAGAAGACTTTTACAAGCGCAAATCTCTTTGTTCTGTTCTACTGCTGTGTACAAACAATGCTGTGCTGTTAGCCAAGTACCCAGGAGCTTTGAAATTAGTCTTCATTTAAATGAAGCAGGGAATTGTATGAATCTGAAAATTCAGAGACTAAGGCAGTTTTGTTTGTCGGATAAAATAGAGTATAAATAGAATGAAATAGAGTGCATGCATGTGATACATAAATGGCAAAAAAATAATTTAAGAAGATGAAGTTTTAGAATAGAATAGAATAGAGTAGAGTAGAGTAGAGTAGAGTAGAGTAGAGTAGAGTAGAGTAGAGTAGAGTAGAGTAGAGTAGAGTAGAGTAGAGTAGAGTAGAGTAGAGTAGGACAGGACAGGATAGAATTTTTTATTGGCCAAGTGTGATTGGACACACAAGGAATTTGTCTTGGTGCATATACTCTCGGTGTACATAAAAGAAAAGATATGTCCACCAAGAATCATAAGGTACAACACTTAATGATAGTCATAGGGTACAAATAAGCATTCAACTCATATTAGGAAACAGTCAATATATATCATAAGGATACCAGCAACAAGGTTACAGTCGTACAGTCATAAGTGGGAGGAGATGAGTGATAGGAATGATGAGAAGATTAATAGTAGTGGAGACTTAGTGAATAGTTTGACAGTGTTGAGGGAATTATTTGTTTAGCAGAGTGATGGCATTCGGGAAAAAACTGTTCTTGTGTCTAGTTGTTCTGGTGTGCAGTGCTCTATAGCGTCGTTTTGAGGGTAGGAGTTAAAACAATTTATGTCCAGGATGTGAGGGGTCTGTAGATACTTTCACAGCCCTCTTTTTGACTTGTGCAGTATACAGGTCCTCAATGGAAGGCAGGTTGGTAGCCATTGTTTTTTCTGCAGTTCTAATTATCCCCCTAGAGACTCCTAGAGAGGCTCCTAGAGACTCCTAGAGAGGTTCTGGAGGCTGGGGACAGCAAAAAATGTCACTTCCTGTCCCACCGAGAGTTGGGAAATGGGCCCTTTCAGCCTCCGTAGGGCCTCCAAGGGAGTGGGAAAGGCTGTTTTCGCCCTTCCCAGATACACAGAGAGGATCTGGAACCAGGTAAGAAAGAAAAATGGGCCTACCAGGCCATCATGTGCCAGGAGCGAGGGGGAGGGGGGAGGGGGTTGCGCACGCATGCACGTGGGTATGTGCGTACGTGACCCTCCCCCGCTCCCCCCTCTCCTGGAACGCGATGGCAAAAAGGTTAGCCATCACTGCCCTATACCATTTGAGACAAGTGGCTCTTCAGTGTCTTCTTAAAAACATCGAGTGAGGGAGGACCCACAACTTCTGGAGGCAAGCCGTTCCACTGGTTAATTATTCTCACTTAAGGAGAAACTTCCTGTTTCTCCTTAATTCCAGGTGTCTTCTCTCCTTGATTAGTTTTAAACCATTGGTTCTTGTCCAGGGCCGGGTTCTAAAATTGTTTACTACCGGTTCTGTGGGCGTGGCTTATTTTGTGGGCGTGGCTTGATGGTCATGTGACAATTCTTTAGGATTTAGCAGAGGTACTGGTCTACGAGGCTTTGAACTGCTTGTTCTTGGAGCGTCCTGGTCTACCCATTTGTTTTTGGAGGCACCGGTCTACCACCACACTGCCTTTTAACACTGATCAGCTGTAGGGCGGCCCTTTGAAGCCCCACGGCAAGAGTTTAAACAGTTTTTTTCCTTCCAGCCGATCAGCTGGGACTCGGGAGGCAGCGAATAGTTTGGGGACGGGACCAAATAAAAGGTAAGAATAATGCGGGCAGGGCAGGAGGGCCCAGCTCCTGAACAAAGAGAACCGGTTCGGTGATGTCATATCTTCACCGCTACCAGCTCGTCCGAACCGGGCTGAACCAGGAGGAACCCACCACTGTTCTTGTCCTGCCCTCTGGTAGTAAGGTGTTATTTTACTAAGGTTTTATAAAGTGGTACTATATGATTTTGATTCTATGCCTCTCTTTATACAAACAAGGACTGTATTAGCTTTTTGGCTGCTGACACACACTGCTGGCTCCTATTAGGTGATTGTCCACTAGGACTCCAAGGTCCCTCTCACAGTTACTGTTTATGAGCCAGGTTTCACCTAATCTGTACTTGTACCTTTGGTTCACCGACCTAAGTGCAGGCAAACCTTGCTTTTCTCCACATTAAATTTCATTTTGTTGGATAGGGCCCATTGTTCAAGTTTGTCGAGATCCTTTTCAATCCTGAGCTTGTCGTGTCATTGTCACGAGTTTATCTTGATGTTGTCTTTCAACCTTCTAGATGCTGAATAATTCAGAAAAGATAGCAGAGCAGATCAGCAAAGACGTTGGATGGCTCTGCTCCCACCTCCTAGCCGTGTGGACCCAATTTCTGGCAATTGTAACCCTACATCCTGACGTCACAACGTACCTTATTCAAGAGCATCACACTCTAAGGGTAACCTTGCAGAATTCTGATGTGCCCAACTTAGAAGAAGGAAGTGATACAAATTCAGGTTGAAGTGTACGGTGTTAATTTTGAGGCTGTTATGGGATTGCTTTGAGATACAAACTTGAGAGTCAATTTCCTTTTTATTAAAATATTAATACATTATGATTCTTGATCAAATACATTGTTTAACAGAAATTGTTCTGTTGTTTCAATGCCAACTGGAAAACATTCAATTGTGCAAAGTTTTAAGGGGTGACAATTTTCATCAAATTAGTTATTATTATTATTATTATTATTATTATTATTATTATTATTATTATTAAAATAAGGGACATGTAGCTATGTAGTTCCTTTATTCAGTCTTGTTTTGAACTCAAGTCGAGTTAAAGGCTGATTCCCTCAGAATAACATAATTTATCTAACTTAGTTTGTTCATTTTTTTAATCAATAAAAGACAGAGAGACACGGGGATTCTTTTTTTTAGCTCCCTTGACGGATTGGGGGGGAAAAAAATCACCAACATAACTTACTTGGGGAAATGGGGGGAAAAAAATAGAAATTCTTTGGTTTTTCTATCAGCTCTATATCTTTTAAAGCCTTTGGCAAGCAGGTAAATAAAGATTTTAGCAGAATTTAGGATAGTCATTAACCAGATGAGCACATGAGGAAGGTAGGAAGAGGATAGTGAGAAAAGGAAGGTTGATGTGTATGGGTGACAGGAGGCATCATGACCCCCCCCCGAAACATTAATGTGATTTGCACACTTTTGAACTGAACAGAATAATAGAGTGGGAAAGAACCTTGGAGGTCTTTTAGTCCAATCGTTTGTCTGAAATGATAGAGGGCAGTGTTAGCAAACCTTTTCGTCACTGAGTGCCAAAATCGGAATGTGTGCGCAAGCGAGGGAGCACTGAAAACCGGAAAAGCAGTTCCCTGGCATGCATGCGCACGCTGGGTGGCTGAACTTCCTGTTTCTGGCATGCACATGCGTGACGGTCACCTGGTCTTCCGGTTTCTGGTGCACATGCGTGAGCAAAGACCAGGCTGGCCAGCATGCATGCACATGCCGGAAACCAGGATCTCAGCTTCCCGGCGCACATGCACACCAGGGAGCTGCTCTTCTGGTTTACGGTGCTCCCTTGCGCATGAAGACCAGCTGGCCGGCACGTATGTGTGCACCAGAACCCGGAAGAGCAATGGGTGATGGCTGATGTGCCCGGAGAGATGGCTCTACATGCTACTTCTGGCACACGTGCCATAGGTTCCCCATCACTGGTGTAGGGTTTATTGAGCATTGCTCAGCAGGTTTCCTGAGCAGGGAGTTTCCTGAGCAGGGAGTTGGACTAGAAGACCTCCAAGGTCCCTTCCAACTCTGTTATTCTGATCATAGGAGCCTTGGTAGTACAGTGGTCTAAAGCACCCTGTTATTAAGAACAGCTGCCTGCAATTACTGCAGGTTCGAATCTCGCCAAGGCTCAAGGTTGACTCAGCCTTCCATCCTTTCTAAGGTAGGTAAATTGAGGACCCAGTTTGTGGGGGCAATAAGCTGACTTTGTATAAATATACAAAAAGGATGAAGGCTATTGCTTAGTGCATTGTAAGCCGCCCTGAGTCTCCGGAGAAGGGCGGCATATAAATCAAATTAAAAAAAAAAAATTACAGAATGTCACATGAAAAGTGACAGGTACTGAAGGCATGCTACCTTGCAGGGAGTCTACAAAGTTCCTTCCAAACTCTTTTTGAATTAGGAATAGCCCCAGCATTCATAGTTTATATTCACTGAACATCAATATGGCTAATGTGCTTTGATGAATATCTAATCTTTAGTTTTTTTTAAAAAAAAGCATGATTTTGAGATTCACTTGTCCGAAGAAAGAGAAAGAAACTTACAAAAATGAACAACAATGTTTGACTCTGACTCTAGGTGGATTGGTTGCATGAGACAGGATAGCTTGCTTTGAAGATGACATGCATTGCTTTATATTTCTCCACTAGGTAAAGAGATTTTCGGAGGCCTTCTTTTACGCAGAGCATCAGAAATGTGCTGCAACAACTTTCCAGGAGAGCCTGTACGTAATTTTCAGTGTCTTCCTTCCATCTCCCACCTCCTCCTCCTCCTCCTCCTCCTCCTCCTCCTCCTTATTAAATATGAATGTTTATCAGGTTTCTGAAGGATGCCCTAATTAAATCATGAGTCTTGAGCCAAGCTTCAAAAAAAAATCAAGTTATTTATTAGGAGCTTCATGTCGGTACATTCCCAAGTGAAGCCAGCTCTGACCCTATGTAATTTACGCCCCAATTATGACCCTGTTTCCCCCCTCCCCCCAGGGTGTGTCATCAATCACATTCACCAACAGAGCAATTTCGTGGGTTGTAGAGATCACTCCCCTCTCGCTGCTGTAGGTAACCCTAGGATACAGCCTTGAGAGAGATAAGCATGGAATGTGAATCTGTCTTTGGCTGCTGTGCCATTTTTCTGGTTTCCCATCCACACAATCCTGGCCTATGGCAACTCGAGAGCGGGCCAGGGATGCTTTGCGAGTTGACAATGTTCTTCATTCTGGTCTGTTGTGTGGATGTTTGGGTGGTTTAGGGGTGAAGAATTGTGGTGGGTAGGAGTGTGTTTGGGGATTGTTATGTGTGTTGGACCTGGTTTTTGCATGTTAAGTGAATTTTGTTGTATGGGTATACTGTGTATACATGTACAATGACAATAAAGTAGTAGTAGTAGTAGTAGTAGTAGTAATTATTATTATTATTATTATTATTATTATTATTATTATTATTATTATCACCTGAGTGGTGCAAATTTTTGTGGAGCCTTCTTGAAACTGTTGTAAGTACTGTCTTGAGGTCTGGAGATAGATAATGTCACATCCCCCCACCCCTCTGTTGAGAGATATGGTATATGCAGTAAAATGCAGTGAGCCATGTGCAGATCTGTACATTGGGGAAACAAAACAACCACTTCATAAATGCATGACATAACACAGGAGAACAAACCTATCAGGACAAGATTCAGCAGTCCATCTGCATTTAGAAGACAAAGGACACTCTTTTGAAGGCAGCAAAGTCCACATTTTGGACAGAGAGGACCGCTGATTTGAAAGAGGGGTCAAAGAGGCCATCTATGTCAAAATTGAACAGCCCTCTCTCAACAGAGGGAGAGGGATACAACAACATCTATCTCCAGTCTACAACACAGTCCTAAATCATGTGTATTCCATGGAGAAGAAGGTAGAGCTTCCAGTGAAAGCGTGAAATTTTCTTTTCCCCCCCATCTTATTACTTCATCCTTGTTACTCTTTACTCATTTCTTAACTTCAAAAACAATTAACTGTGGGTTTATTGAAAACTAATTGGAAATGAATAGGTGAAAAGGGAAATATTCCTCCCCCAAAATAGCAGAAAAAAACTAATGATGATGAAAAGCTACATTTTGATTTTCTCCGTCTCCTTCCCAACAGCATCCAGCATCACAGCCAGATTTCAACCGAAGTTCGATATTCTGAGTATTTGACCCGCATGCCACCACTTCCTGTGGAATGCCTGGACATTGATGGAGACTGGAGCACACTACCAATTATCTTTGAGGACCGATATGTTGATTTCCCTTATCAAGGTGGGCAGGGGTAGGGATTCCTTTTCATTTCTGGGAGCTTTTTCAGCGTTAGCACAGAATGAACCATTCTGACCTGTGAAACGGCACAGTTACTTAAAAACTGTTATTTGTGAGACTGAATTTGTCAAGCCACGTGTGCAAGAAAGCCAATTGTGTGTGTGATGGAGAATCAGTCTGACAGTGAGAAGACATGATGAAAATTCTTTAATTTTACAACATATATTATGTTTCCCTGAAAATGAGACCTCCCTGGATAATAAGCCCAATCGGGCTTTTGAGCACATGCACTAAAATAAGCCCTCCCCAAAATAAGCCCTCCCCAAAAATATTTAAATGCATGCACAGCCAGTCCCCACCATTTCCTCTGGTTAGGGTTAGGAAGATAGAGCTGGAAATCAGGTAAAACAGCAAGAGGAGCCCCACGTGCCCCAAAATAATAAGACCTCACCGAAAATAAGGCCAAGCACTTATTTTGGGGTTCAAAAAATATAAGACAGGGTCTTATTTTCGGGAAAACACGGTAGACAGATTTAACCATAGTTTCAATTGGGAAAATGTAACCATCGTAGACCAGGCCTAGTCCAAAACTGCCAGGGAATTTTTAGAAGCCTGGCACTCTGACAAATCAGCCATCAATAGACACATAGACATTAACACCATCTATAGCAATGGTGGGTTGCCCCCGGTTCAGTCCGGTTCTTGCGAACTGGTAGTAAAACAGGTGGGAGGCTCCACCCACCCACCCAGATATCGTCATAGATGATCTGTGCATGTGCAGAAGCTCGGCGTGCATGCGAGCAAAGCGAGCGCATGTGCACGATCCCGTTACGAACCAATAGTAAAGGTAAGTAGAACCCACCCTTGTTCTATAGACTGTGCAAAAGAGACAATCAACCAGCCCAAAAGAAAACAAAAATAACTCCACCAATAACCAGCAATCTGATCAGCATAGATTAACTCCAAGCTTAATTTCAGACCAACAATCAAGTAAACAATACCCCAATCAAGAAACTGCCAAAGAAGCCAACAGCAAACAGCCCAACCAAAGAATCTCCAAGACCGCCTCCACCCTCACAGACAGAGAAGCCACCAGAATATAAACTGACAGCAAACCTCACTCCTTACTAGCACTGATGATGTTACCCAGTTTGGGTAGTGAAATGTCCGTAAGGAAACAAGCAAGCTCAGAGAGCACCAAAGACCCTTCATTTCAATCTTGAGCTATAAATATTTTCCTTTATTGATGGAGAGATGTGCTTGGTTCTACCTTTATATAGGGAATGTCAGGCTGCTTGGTCTGTAATAAAACGATACCTTTCTCAACAAATGAAGCCAAGGATCATTTCTATTCAGAGATTTAAATTGTGGGCAGTCCAGTGGTGGGTTCCTCCCGGTTTGGTCCGGTTTGGCCGAGCCGGTAGCGGTGACGATATGACATCACCGAACCGGTTCTCCTCCCCCCCGCCCTCCCACCCCCCACCCACGTTATTCTTACCTTTTATTTGGTCCCACCCCAATCTATTGCTGCCTCCTGACTCCCAGCTGATGACTAGAGGGAAAAAAACTGTTTAAACTCTTGCCGTGGGGCTTCAAAGGGCCGTCCTACAGCTGATCAGTGTTAAAAGCAAACAAATGAGTCGGGTCGTAAGTGCAAGGACTGGTCGTAAGTGTGAGGACCTTCCAGAAATGACTCTGACCAGCTAGCCACGCCCACCTAGTCACATGAGCTCCAAGCCACACCCACAAAATAAGCCACGCCCACAGAAAATTTAGAACCCACCCCTGGGGCAGTCTGATAGTTACCCAGAACTGAGAATTGTGCACCAAGATCCCTCAGTTCTATTCCCCCTCACACTATTTTAACTGTCCCTCACTGCCCACCCCACTATAACCAATCAAATTCATGTGAGATTTATTTATTTATTTATTTATTGGTTCGATTTATATGCCGCCCTTCTCCGGAGACTCAGGGCGGCTTACAATGCTTAAGCAATAGCCTTCATTCTTTTGTATATACCTGCTTAGTAGGGCTTTTGCCCCCCCTCCAAGCGGTGTTCTTTTTTATACAAAGTCAGCTTATTGCCCCCACAATCTGGGTCCTCATTTTACCTACCTCGGTAGGATGGAAGGCTGAGTCAACCTTGAGCCTGGTGAGATTCGAACTCGCAGTAATTTCAGGCAACTGGCAGCTAAGTGCTACTTTAACAGCACTTTAGACCGATGCGCCCCAAGGCTCCTTTTATGTTTCCATAATGGTCAGTCCAGGCACAGCTTGGTATGAGGCTTCCTTCTTCTTCCAGCTGGGTGACCTTGGAGCAGCTTCTCGAGGGGGTGCAGTCTCTGCTTTCGCTTTCCCCAAGCATTCCGCTCTACATCCTCCCCTCCTCCTCCCACTTCATGGCAGTCTGTCACTGTCTAACAGTGAAGCACAGCAAGCATAAGGTGACAGCCGAAGGGGAATCTAATGCATGATTGCAAAGGGAAAGCCCACCCAAAGGAAGCAAGGAGCTTTTCAATTATCCTAGAATTCCAGACCTGAACCATGGATTTTTGTCCCAGGAAAGCAGATTCTAAATTAATCCCGGAAGATTTTTTTTTTTTTTTTTTTTTAAGAGTGAATGCTGCTCAACAGCGAAAGCAATTATCCACATCCTATTCCCCGGATATGTGTATGGGATGGCTATAGAACCATCTGTCAGGGATGCTTTCTTTTGTATTCCTGCTCCATGATTCCATGCGCAATTATGTTTTTTATGTATGTGTGCAATTATGGTTTATGTGCAATTACATTGTTTCACTCGGGAAAGAAGCAATATTCAGTTCAAAGTCAACAGGGCCTGGAATAGGATCTAATTTCTTATGCCTGAGGTTTTATTTTATTTTTTTTTATTTATGTCCCCAAATTCCATTTAATTAAAGATAGTTGTACAAAGAGTGAGAAAAATGTCAGAGAGAGAGAGGGGAGGGAAAGAATGAGAGGGAGAAGGAGAATGAGAGGGAGAGAGAGAGAAAGAGAGAAAGAGAAAATCAGAGAGAGAATGAGAGAGAGAGAGAATGAGAGAGAGAGAGAGAGAATGAGAGAGAGAATGAAAGGGGAGAGAGAGAATGAGAGAGAGAGAGAGAATGAGAGAGAGAGAATGAAAGGAGAGAGAGAATGAGAGAGAGAATGAGAGAGAGAGAGACAGAATGAGAGGGAGAGAGAGAATGGTCCTGTGTGAGCTGCACTGGCTCCCAGTGGTCTTCCGGGTGCGCTTCAAGGTGTTGGTTATCACCTTTTAAGTGCTCCATGGCATAGGACCTAGTTATCTTCGAGACCGCCTGCTGCTACCGACGGCCTCCCATCGACCTGTGCGCCCCCACAGAGAGGGCCTCCTCAGGGTGCCATCAGCCAAACAATGCAGGCTGGTGACCCCCAAGGGGAGGGCCTTCTCTGTGGGGGCACCTACCCTCTGGAATCAACTGCCCCCAGAGATAAGGAGAATCCAAGAGCTCAGTGCCTTCCGCCGTGCCCTTAAAACTTTCTTTTTTCAGCAAGCCGGGCTGGCCTAACACTTTTTAAATGTTTTAATTGGTTTGTTACTGTTTTTATTTATGGGGCCAAATTTATATATATCTTTTAATGGTATTTTAATATTTGTACTCTATGTTTTTATGTGGCTGTACACCGCCCTGAGTCCTTAGGGAGAAGGGCGGTATACAAATTCAAAAATAAATAAATAAATAAATAAATAATATAATAAATAAATAAATAAATAAATAAATATAAATAAGAGAGAGAATGAGAGAGAGAGAGAGAGAATGAGAGGGAGAGAGAGAATGAGAGAGAGAATGAGAGGGAGAGGGAGAAGGAGAGGGAGAAGGAGAGGGAGAGAGAATGAGAGAGAGAGAGAGAGAGAGAATGAGAGAGAGAATGAGAGAAAGAATGACAGTGAGAAAGAGAGAGAGAGAGAGAAAATCAGAGAGAGAATGAGAGAGAGAATGAAAGAGAGAGAGAGAGAGGAAAGAGAGAGAGTGAGAGAGAGAATGAGAGAGAGAGAGAATGAGAGGGAGAGAGAGAGAATGAGAGAGAGAATGAGAGGGAGAGAGAGAATGAGAGAGAGAATGAGAAAGAGAGAATGAGAAGGAGAATGAGAGAGAATGAGAGGGAGAGAGAGACAATGAGAGAGAGAGAGAGAATGAGAGAATGAGAGGGAGAATGAGAGAATGAGAGGAATGAGTGAGAGAATGAGTGAGAGAATGAGAGGGAGAGGGAGAATGAGAGGGAGAGAGAGAATGAGAGAGAGAGAGAGAATGAGTGAGAGAGAGAATGAGAATGAGAGAGAGAATGAGAGAAAGAATGACAGTGAGAAAGAGAGAGAGAGAGGGTGTGCTGTGTTGTACAGGGACCAACAAGGTTTATGAATTGGAACTGCCTTCTTTGAAACTGTAGTGTTGTGTGGTTAGGACCGTAAACTGTATTCTTCCACAACCATGCTTGGAAAATTCAACAGCCAGCAGTCTCTTTATTGACTGTGGTACCCCTGTGTATCCCAGAAACTCTTTCTCTATTCTTCCCCAACCTTCCTTGAGTTGGTGAGAAACAATATAGGCATATATCCTCTGTCCATGGATCAGCTAATCTAGTCATGACCTCTTTCTCTACTTTGTGAGGAAGGGATTCCCAAACATGCATCCACCCTTTAATTTGGGGAAAGTGCCTTTGGGTGCACAACCCCTTGCTCATTCACAATGGGGTAGGGATCTCCTTGGAACCTTTCACACCTCCTGGGAACGGTCTGATGATCCACAAAGCATTGTGAATGAGACATGAGCAAAATTTCATGGCTAATTCACTCGATCAAGGGGCCGAAATGAGTCTATCTCCTGAGTCCTGTTTCAGTGAGCACATGCTGATGTTTTGAATTCCTGCCCCCCCCCAAAGAGAAACAGGACAAATTAAAGAAGAGTTAACAGTTTTGCAGAGCACTGAAGAAAGCTCAGCATATACACAGGCCAAGGAAAAAGAAGCTAAAATGCAATTCGTACCAGTTCAAATGTCAGCGTCCCAGCACTGACATATATAAGGAGAGGAGAAGCTTGAACTTTTGCCTACTTAATCCCTTTGAAGATTCTGTCTCCTCGGAGATGGGAGGAGGGGAACATTCCTGTGATCTGACGGAGGAGGGATGAGGAAAGTGGCTTGGAAGATAGCCAATGAGACGCAGAGAATTGGGGATCGGAAAGGGAGGGATTGGGGGGCAAAGGTCAGTACTGACCGCGCAAGAGCCAGGGACAGATCACTATGCTCAATAAAGAGAAAATTTCCTTAAAGATCGGCAGTTTGGAAATTCCTTTATTTTGAGATAGCATCGAAACCTGACATCAAACTTGTATGGCTCAAAATGAGGGGAAGTATGAGTTGTAGTTTACAATTTTGTATGCCAACGTGACAGTGAGTGGTCCTTGATTCTCTCTGGGCTTGCTTATTTTCTTGCAGACGTTTTATTACTAAACTAGATAACATCATCAGTGCTAGTAGGAAGTGGGATTTGCTCTCAGTTTATATTCTAGTAGCTTGCTCTGCCAGTGTTGGTAGGGATGGTCTTAGAGGTTCTTTGGTTGGGCTGTTTACTGTTAGCTTCTTTCCTTGATCGGAGTATTCTTTACTTTTTGATTGATGGTCTGATGTTAATCTTGAAGTTAATCTATGCTCACCTGGATATTGATTGAGGAAGTACATCTGGACATGTGAGTGTCGGACCCAAAGATCACTACATTGAGGAAGGTGGTCCTCTAAATCATAATGTCAGGGTACTGCATAATGCACCCCAGGGGTGGGTTCTAAATTTTTTTACTACCAGTTCTGTGGGCGTGGCTTATTTTGTAGGTGTGGCTTGGAGGTCATGTGACTAGGTGGGTGTGGCTAGCTGGTCAGTCATTTCTAGAAGGTCCTCGCACTTATGACCCGACTCATTTGTTTGCTTTTAACACTGATCAGCTGTAGGACGGCCCTTTGAAGCCCCGCGGCAAGAGTTTAAACAGTTTTTTTCCCTCTAGTCATCAGCTGGGACTCAGGAGGCAGCAATAGATTGGGGGTGGGACCAAATAAAAGGTAAGAATAATGTGGGGGGGTAGGGGTGGGAGGGCGGGGGGGGAGAACTGGTTCGGTGACGTCATATCGTCACCGCTATCGGCTCGGCCGAACCGGACCGAACCGGGAGGAACCCACCACTGATGCACCCATTGAAAGCAGAACTCCGAGGCAAGTAGATTCCTCAAAGAACATGTTTATTGGATACATCATATCGGCACAGCTGGTGAAAACCAACTCTAACAGCTCCCGCAGTTTTCACCTAATAAAAAGAGTAAAAATCCCCCCTCGTAGGTGTCACCGATCACTTTGTCCAATGAAGAGGGATGGCAGGCTCCTCTCCTCCTTCAACAGACACCTGTTTCAATGACCTTGGTTCCCACAGGAAAACTTTTTGTTTTGACTGTAGCTGCGCTATCTACTCCCCTCCTCCTGTCCCCCTCTCAGGCTTCGTGGCAACTATGAGGCAGCGCCAGATGGCTTCAGCCAGGTTTGCTTCAGAGTTGACACATACAATGATGTTCGGTTTTATAGTAATCTCAATTGGGTTTGGGATTAGTATTTTCTTATGCTGGCATATCCTTGATGACTCATGGTTCCATTTTTCTTTCCTTTTCAGTTCAGGGCTTAGACATTTTGTCAAACTACATGATCTCTGCAGTGGACAATTCACAAGTGGACCTTGACAGAAATGAAGAGCGTTCCTCAACCAACGATATTGCTTTATCAAAGGGGGACTTCAGGAACAACATGCCTTTCGTTATACATACGGATAGGATACATAGAAATTTGATGTTTCCTTTCGGCTACTCAAAAGGTGACTCTTGTACAGACAAGAATTTCAAGGCTCAGTCCATGACTCAGGTATATACAATGAATGGAAATGTCCAATCCTACATCACTCGGAAAGAACTAGAGAGCAATGTGATATCTAGCTTGGCATCAGATCTCCTGGAAGATCCTTCAAAAAACTTTAAGGGACCAATGAGCTTTACAGAAAACAATAATAGGCTCACTACAGAAGTGCCATATTTGGATATGGACCCAGTGTTTAAGACCGCTCACCAGAATCAATCAATCCTTGTTATGAATGCTCAGTGCGACGCTGGCAATTATGAACCTCCTAAACATGTGGATGGGATTAGTTTGAGCCAAGCAGCTCAAAGGGATTGTTGTGAATCTACTCTTGCTTCGGACAAACCAATGTTCACTGAGACACCGGTAGATCAACGTAGTGAAACTCAGAGGACCTTTGACGTAATTCCTAATTTCAACTCCATTCCAACAACTCCGACAACAGTTGTGGAAGAGTCCAAGTCACACCTGAAGGAGCATGACATGGAAAAGCATGAAGAGGTCTTGACCTCAGGAGTTATTAAGAGATCTTCATCCGTAATTTCAGATTCGGGAATTGAAAGCGAACCCAGTTCGGTGGCTTGGTCTGACGCAAAGAGCAAAGCCTTGGAGTTGACCGGTGATCGAGAGATCCTTCACCAGCTAGTCAAAAGGCATGCAACCCACCGGAATTCCCTAGAAGGTGGACACACAGAAAGCAATACAAGTTTGCCAAATGGCATCCAAGCCTCGCTGACTTCTATTAGCTCCTTGCCTTATGAGGAAGAAGAAAGAGAAGTGGAGCCCAACAAGTTGACCAAATCAATCTCTGCTCCTCAGATCAGCAGTCCCGAGGAACCTGCGGAAGTCAGGGATATATCCACACCCGATCAAAACATCTCGGGTGGGCAGTATGTGGAAATAGGAAACGCCAGAATGGTCTCCGTGGGAAATATTTCTGCCTGCCAGGATGGAGGTCCTCAGCTGCCCGGTGCTTTGATAATACACCCCAAATCTGAGTGTAATACTGCTCACTTACAAGGAAGTGTTCATGGCTTTCCTGAGAAGGACCATAATTTGGAAGCCACAGGGGGGCTACTATCTCAAGTAGAATACCAGTTGCCAGAAGAGAGAAGAGAGGATGACCATTTAGAAACAGCCAATCATTATTTGGATACAAACGTTTCTAATCTGGAGGTGTATCGCGAGGATGCGAACTTGAATCATGACCACAATTTGTACGCTACTTTCTCACACTGTGAGAACGAGATGATGGACTTTTGCTACACTCATCCAGACTCAGCAGACTTGGCCTTCACCCAGGGGAACTCTGTTACCTCTCTGGTCAACAGGGACAATAGAACCGGTGGTAGAGACATCACACGTTCACAGAAAGTTGAGCTGGACGACCGATCTGAGTGTGGATCGTGCAACGTTGAGCTGGACAAAAGAGATCTGAAGATTGTAGCCAACAGCACTGGCTTTCATTCTGCAGTGCCGGAGACCTTGGTGCTTGAGAGTAAGAAGGCCCTGGAGATAGTCAATTTATCTGTTTCTTGCACGGCCACCTGTCTGCCCTTTTCTTCGGTTCTCAAAGAGACCCCTCCGCTGACGGTTTTGTCCTCCAAGCAGGTCACTTCTCCTATCACTCACCAACCAGTAGGGTCCTTTGGGGTCATCTCTTGCGAATCTAGTAAAGTGGGGGAAGAAGACAATGAACAAATGCTCAAGTAAGGATTGACTTTTTTAAAAAAAATATATATAAAAGTATCGATATGCTGAACATTTGCTAGTACAGATGCTAAGGTGGTAAGGATGATACCGAATGTAAACATATAGTACCTACCTACCTTCCTTCCTTCCTTCCTCCCTCCCTCCCTCCCTCCCTCCCCTTCCTTCCTTCCTTCCTTCCCTCCCTCCCTCCCTCCCCTTCCTTCCTTCCTTCCTTCCTTCCTTCCCTCCCTCCCCTTGTTGAAAAAAAAAAACGATAGGAAAAATCTATTTCCTAAATTCTAACCCTCAACTTTATTTTGCAATGGTTTTATAGAAACATTGAGCCTGGTTATGAAATACATTTTTTTTTAAAAAAATATTTAACCTTGAGACCATCAGGGCAAGTTACTCTTCTGTAGGATCCATGAGGATAGGAATAGATGTTTTATAAAAGTACCGATATGCTGAACATTTGCATAGTAACAGATCCTTAGGTGGTAAAGATGATACTGAATGTAAGCATATAGTATCTTCCTTCCTTCCGTCCCTTCCTTCCCTCCCTCCCTTCTCCTTCCATTCTTCCTTCCTTCCTCCTTCCTTCCTTCCCTTCCTTTCCTTCCTTCCTTCCCTCCCTCCCTTCTCCTTCCTTTCTTCCTTCCTTCCCTCTCTCCCTCCTTCCTTCCTTCCCTTCCTTCTCCTTCCTTCCTTCCCTCTCTCCCTCCTCCCCTTCTCCTTCTTTCCTTCCTTCCTCCGTCCTTCTTCCCCTCTCTCCCTCCCTCCCTCCTCTTGGAAAAAAAATGGCAGGAACAGTCTATTTCCAAAATCCTAACCCACAAGTATTATTCTGCGATGGTTTTATAGACATATTGAGAATGGTTGTGAAACACAGGAAAAAAAATATTTAACCTTGTGACCATCAAGGCATGTTACTCTACCGTTGGTTCCATGTGGATAGGAATGCAACATATAGGTTAGGCCCCTTTAGAAGCTTCTTAGCCGCATCAGTGGGTACATCACTGCGGCCTTGTGCCCCTCATTCATCTTTTGTGTTTTCCAGGGTTCTCTGCACTGTATCCTTCCTAAAATTAGGCAAGTGGAGTTCCTTTATATAACTTGCTTCCATTTACCATAGACAAGAGCACGAATACGCTGTGTTTCTTGACATTGCTGAATTGATATTGCACCTAAATGTGGGAATTTAAGGAATGGTGTTTGCACTCAGATTTGAACAACTCAATCAGTCCTGCTTCTCCGCCACTGAGATATCTGTTGTCATTAACCCAATGGTCGAAGTACTTACATCCTATCGATACTCAGCCTTGTTCAGCCTGTGATTTATTGGTGTATTCTCCAGTTTCTATCAGGCCAAAGAAACATTTAAAAAGGAACTGAAGATTGAAGGATTTCTGTACAGTGACTTATCCATACTAGCTTCTGATATCCCATATTTTCCACCAGAGGAAGAGGAAGAAAATTTGGAAGATGGGATTCACCTAGTGATCTGTGTCCATGGGCTAGATGGTAAGACAAACCCCCACCCAACACACACGGAGACACACAAACACATGTGTGTCTCTCTGTGTGTATATATATGTGTGTATGTGTGTGAGAGAGAGAGAGGGAGGGAGAGAGAGAGAGACGGAGAGACGGAGAGACGGAGAGAGGAGAGAGAGAGAGAGAGAGAGAGAGAGAGAGAGAGAGAATAGCCCAAGGTCACCCACCTAGCTTTAATATTTAATCAGGTCTAGAACAAGGGACGAGGTGGCTCAGTGGCTCAGACGCTGAGCTTGTCGATCAGAAAGGTCGGTAGTTCAGTGGTTCGAATCCCTGGTGCCGTGTAACAGGGTGAGCTCCCGTTCCTTGTCCCAGCTTCTGTCAACCTAGCAGTTCGAAAGCACGTAAAAAATGCAAGTAGAAAAATAGGGACCAGCTTTGGCGGGAAGGTTACAGCATTCCGTGCGCCTTTGGTGTTTAGTCATGCCGTACACATGACCACATGACCATGGAGACCTCTTCGGACAGCGCTGGCTCTTTGGCTTTGAAACGGAGATGAGCACCACCCCTAGAGTCGGGAACGACTAGCACATATGTGCGAGGGGAACCTTTACCTTTAGAATTCCCATTCTCCTGGTTTCTAGCTTGCTGCCTTAACAGCAAACTACCTCTCCATTTCCTTCATAAATATGAACTACTAGTTATAAATAGAGCAACATATCTATCCTATATTGTAAAGGAGTCCAATCTTGACTACATAGAGGGACAGAAAGGTGTATCCAAAGGATAGTTGGAGCCAAATCTTTTAACTTTTTTGTTTTCCAGGTAACAGTGCAGATCTTCGGCTGGTAAAAACATTCATCGAATTGGGTCTCCCTGGAGGGAAACTGGACTTCCTAATGTCAGAAAGGAACCAGGTATTTTATTCATCTTTTAGTGGTTTGTTTGGAATCTTGATGCCTGCATTTCCATCTTATAAAGAAGGGTTTAGTATAGGTGAAAAGTGAAATTGAACGGACATTGCCATAAATTATTTCTGCAACAGCAAAATATTATTATGGCACTGGTTTCATTACGAAACATTTTGGATTTGTTATTCCTTCATTTCTGTTGGACTGTTTTGAGGACATCATCATTACATTTGCATGAATATCATTACTGTCATTTCACAAGCATTTTCTCCTTCCTAATTCGTTGATTAAGTGCCTTTTATTGTTTTTGTTAACATGGTGGCAGCAACTGAATTGATTTCATGAATTATTCTTAGTAAGTAGCACCATCTTCCTAGAATATTCCATTTCGTTCATAAAATTCTGAAGAGCAAGATTCTGGCTTCACTGCAGAATTTCAAAATACTCCAAAATAATGTACCTTTAAGAGCAATCAGAATCAGGTCTATTTTTTTTATTTTTTATTTATTTTTTTTGCTTCTCCAAAAACTAAAACAAGAAACTGTTGTTTCAAGTCTCTGTTCCCTCAACCTTCAGCTCTTAGGAACATGAAGAACGGTTACAGGAACTGGCATGGCTAGTCTAGTGAAGAGAAGGACCATATTTGAGGGGCTGCCACAGAGAGGAGGGGGTCAAGCTATTTTCCAAAGCACCCAAAGGCCAGACAAGGAATAATGGATGGAAACTGATCAAGGAGAGATTCAACCTAGAAATAAGGAGAAATTTTCTGACACTGAGAACAATCAACCCATAGAACAGAAGTTGCCTTTGGAAGTTGTGGGAGCTTCATCACTGGAGGCTTTCAAGAAGAGACTGGACTGCCATTTGTCAGAAATCTCCTGCTTGGGTGGGGGATTGATGACCTACAAGGTCCCTTCCAACTCTGTTAATCTGTAATCCCCTCCTTAGCTAACATGTATTGAGTAGGCTGATGGCCATGAAGGATACAATATGCACAGAGGTGGGTTTCAGCAGGTTCTAACCAGTTCTGGAGAACCGGTGGTAGAAATTTTGAGTAGTTCGGAGAACTGGTAGGAAAAATTCTGACTGGCCCCACCCCCACCCCCCTATAGGGAGGAAATGGGGATTTTGCAGTAACCTTCCCCTGGAGTGGGGAGGAAATGGAGATTTTACAGCATCCTTCTCCTGCCATGCCCACCATGTCACCCCCACCAAGCCACCCCCACAAAACCAGTAGTAAAAATTTTTGAAATCCACCACTAAATAAGCAATATATCGTTCTTGATATATAGGTTAAGTTGAAACAGCATTTTTTTCTCTCTCTCTCTTTTTTTTTAATTTTTATAATTTTATTCATAAACATTTTTGAATACAATGTATTGTCAGGGTATACCATTTACAAGAAAAGAAGGCCAGAGAAAAGACAGTAATAAATATTAACCCATTAACTGATAACAATAATAATACTTTAATAACACATGTACTGATAACAATAGTAATAATATAACCAAGTAATTTTAACTAAGTTTCTTTTTATATTGGTTTATTTACATTTTTGTTAATTATAATGATTGTAGTTATAGACCACCTCTATTTTTAATACATACATTCGTAGTTTTTCTTCCTCTAATCTCTACCTCTTGTCACACATAAAATCACTCATAACCACTCATAAAATCTGTTCCATATCAAATAATATTCTGTGACTTCTTTATCTTTTATTTTTAAAGTTAGTCTGTCTATTTCAGTGCAGCTAAAAATTTTTCAAATTACTTCCTCATCTGGCTGGGTGTTCTCATTTTTCCAGTATTTTGCAAATATAATCCTTGCTGCTGTCAATATATGTAAAACAAAATATGTGGTCCCTTTATCGAAACCCTCCGCATTTTTTTTTCTCGGTATGTGCTGCCCTCTGGCTTCTGAAAATAGACATCTACACATTTTGTCTGTGTCCTCTGTAATTCAGTGGATTCTTTCATTTCAAAGTATCAGGGAAACGTGAAAAAATTCAAAGGAAATAATTTATTATCAGTTCAGGCAAAGCAAAATAAATAAATAAAAATCAGGAGTGTTCATTTAGTTTATGATCCTCTTTCATGGAACACTGTTTCAGGAACAGAGGACCTGAAAATTGGATCTATAAATATTTTAAATAACCAATTAGGATGCCCCGTTTCCCTACAAAGAAGTTGCATTTTGAGCTTTTGGGTATCAGTCATGCTTCTTAGCATGCTGGGTGTCTAGGGAAGATAAAGATAAATTGCTCTTTCAAGTTGAGCTCAACTGTGGGTGACTTCATTTCCTGGAAGACTTGGCAACTCTATGGAAGTACCCTTTCTGGGTACTTGTGTAAAATTTTAAGAAATTCATCTTAAAGGTGATTTATACTTTAATCTCCAAATAAAATTGGTTTCCCCAGTTAGATTCACAATGCAGATTTGATAACATCAGAGGTATGCACAGAAGATTTTTGCACATTAATTACTTTAATTAATTGTATCTGCTCAAGTCAACATTCCTTGGGTGAGGCCTACTGTGTCATCTTACATGGCTTCCTAGAGGTACTTGACTACCTCCTTCTCCTTCTCCTTCTCCTTCTCCTTCTCCTTCTCCTTCTCCTCCTCCTCCTCCTCCTCCTCTTTCATCTTCTTCTTCTTATTATTTATTTATTTATTTATTTATTTTTGCGATTTATATGCTGCCATTCTCCCGAAGGACTCAGGGCGGCTTACAACAACAATCAATAATACAAATCACAAAATCACAAAATAAGTTAAAAACCCCTTAAAAACCATATTTCTTCTTCTTCTTCTTCTTCTTCTTCTTCTTCTTCTTCTTCTTCTTTCTTCTTCTTCTTCTTCTTCTTCTTCTTCTTCTTCTTCCTTCTTCTTCTTCTTCTTCTTCTTCTTCTTCTTCTTCTTCTTCTTCTCCTCCTCCTCCTCCTCCTCCTCCTCCTCCTCCTCCTTCTCCTCTTCCTCCTCCTCCTCCTCCTCCTCCTCCTCCTCCTCCTCTTCCTCCTTCTCCTTTCCCTTCTTTCTCCTTCTTTCCCCTCTACTCCTTCTCCTCCCCATCCTCCTCCTCTTCCTTCACCTTCTCCCCCCCTCCTCTTCCTTCTCATTCCCCTCCTCCTCCTCCTCCTCTTCCTCCTCATTAATTGTAATCACAAAGCATATATGGTGTAATTTTATTTCTTTCAATTCTTGTCTTGGAAGCTTGTTTCTTCTTAACTGGAGAGACCCCAACTTTGAGAAATACTCCCCACAACCCCATTCTCTTTTCACAGACAGATACCTTTGCAGACTTTGATACCATGACGGATCGCTTGCTGGATGAAATCATTCAACATATTCAGCTATACAACTTATCAATATCACGTATCAGGTAAAAGGGCAAGAAGAAGGAAATGGGCTATGAGACTACACTGGGGTCCTTTTCCTGATGTGAGGGACTGGGGGGGGGATCTAGGAAAAGAATCAGAAAGCAGGAAGAAATGTTAGTTCGGTCCTCCTGAATAGAAACTCCCTTACCTCATGAATGTACTGCATCCAATTTTGGTCACTACACTATAAAAAAGATGTTGAAAACTTGAGACTCTGGAAAAAGTGCAGAAAAGAGCAACCAGAATGATTAGGGGACTGGAGGCTAAAACATATGATGAACGGTTGCAAGAACTGGGCATGGCTAGTCTAGTGAAGAGAAGGACCAGGGGAGACATGATAGCACTCTTCCAATACTTGAGGGGCTGACACAGAGAGGATGGGGGTCAACCTATTTTCCAAAGCACCCGAAGGCCAGACAAGGAAGAACGGATGGAAACTGACCAAGGAGAGATTCAACCTAGAAATAAAGATAAATTTTCTGACAGTGAGAACAATCAACCAATGGAACAGAAGTTTGTTTGTTTGTTTTTGTTTGTTTTTATTAAATTTATATACTGCCCTACTGCCGAAGGACTCAGGGCGGTGAACAGGCACAAAATAAAATACATAGATACAAAAGTTAGAAACATAATTAAAACCAGATTAAATAATTTAGCCCGAGACAATTAAAAATCCCAATAATTTAAAACAGATTTAAATTTCGATTTAAAAGAATTTTAAAACAGGGGAGAAAATTAGGCCAGGCCGGCTTGCTGGAATAGGAGGGTCTTAAGAGCACGGCGGAAAGTGCGCAGATCCGGGATCCTCTGTATCTCTGGGGGGAGTTCGTTCAAGATAGTGGGTGCCCCCACAGAGAAGGCCCTCCTCCTGGGGGCCGCCAGTCAACATTGTTTAGCTGACGGCACCCGGAGGAGCCCCTCTCTATGAGAGTGTACCGGCCGGTGGGAGGCTGTTTGTGGTAGTAGGTGGTCCCGTAAATAACCAGGTCCTAAGCTATGGAGCGCTCTAAAGGTGGTGACCAAAACCTTGAAGCGCACCCGGAAGACCACCAGGAGCCAGTGCAGCTCGCGCAGGAGAGCTGTCACACGGAAGCGCCATGTTGCTCCCATAACCACCCACACGGCCGCACTCTGCGCCAGTTGGAGCCTCCGGGTGCTCCTCAAGGGGAGCCCCATGTAGAGAGCATTACAGTAGTCCAGGTGGGAAGTGACGAGGGCATGAGTGACTGTGTGTAGGGAGTCCCAATCCAGAAAGGGACGCAACTGGCGAATCAGGCGAACCTGATGAAAAATCCACCCGGTCACGGCCATCAAGTGCTCTTCTAAAGACAGCCATGAATCCAGGAGGACCCAAGTTGCGAGCCCTCTCTGTGGGGGCCAGCAATTCACCCCCAATAGTCAGCGATGGCGTCAACTGACTATATCGGGACTTCGGAAACCACAGCCACTCGGTCTTGGATGGGTTGAGCCTGAGCTTGTTGCCTTTGGAAGTTGTGGGAGCGTCATCACTTGAGACTTTCAAGAAGAGATTAGACTGCCATGTGTCAGAAATGGTGTAAGGTCTCCTGCTTGAGCAGGGGGTTGGACTAGATGACCTATAAGGTCCCTTCCAACTCTGTTAATCTGATTTGAATCTGATCTGATTGGAAAATCAGTTCTGGTGGGGTAAAATATGGGAAAAGGCATTTTAAAGATACGAAGTTGTCTTAACAAACTTAGTACGACCGAGGCTGGGAAATTCCTATTGTAGTTAACAAGATTATGTATGTATTCTACATTAGTGCTGAAGAGTGATGGTTCGAGTTTTGTGCCTCAAGTCAGACTTGTCCCAAAGGTCCATTTTTTTCCAAAAGGCAACTGGAATTTCTTGGGTTTTTTTTTTCCTTTGAAAATGTTTCACTTCGCATCCAAGAAGCTTCTTCAGTTCTTCAGATGTTCTTCTGAAAAAGAAAAAAAAACATTTTGCACAAAATGGGACATGCAGAAGGTTTGGGAGGCCTGCAGAGTGCTCCTGGGGGCTGGGGAGGGCAAAAACCAGATGCACAGAGGCCAAAAACTTTTTTTTTCTTGTTTTCCTCTTCAAAATCTTGGCGCGTCTTATACTCCAGTGCGTCTTATAGTCTGAAAAATACGGCATGCAAAAACAAATATAAATTGTATTATTTCCATTTCTATAGCTTCATCGGTCACTCGCTCGGTAACGTGATCATCCGATCAGTACTGACCCGGCCCAGGTTTCGCTATTACCTCAATAAGCTACACACCTTCCTGTCCCTCTCCGGACCTCACCTGGGAACGCTGTACAACAATAGTACTTTGGTTAGTACAGGTAAGAGTCTCTGAAATCATCCATGGGTAGGGGCTGAAAGAAGAAATGGGTGTGGATAGAGTAAAAGGAATAATATATGATTAGATGATAGCAGTGTATCATAGATATTATGATGTCGAATTCTCAGGCATCTCTCTTAATTGAGTGTGGTTCTTTTCCAAGCATGATTTTCAAAGAGCGTCCTTAAGAAGATCGGTTGAGAAGACAAGAATTTCAGGACCCAAATTCTTTCTCATATACCGTAAACATATACTGTATTTTTCAGAGTATAAGATACACTTTTCCCCCCTAAAAGAGGGTGAAAATTTGGGTGCATCTTATACACCAAATGTAGCCAAAAAAACAAGGCATGGAGGAGGTGATGGTCTGTGGCAATCCCTGAAGCCTAGAACAGCTGATTGGGAGTATTCTGGGAGGCCAATCCACCCGCCAATCAGCTGCTTGTGCTGAATCAGGCTGCAATAATGTGCTGAAGCTGACCTGGCTGTTTGCTATTTTCTGCAAGGACTGTCAGAGTTTGCAGCAGCAATCACATCCAGAAAGCACACTGATTCAGCAGGATTCAATAACTTCTCTTTATATATAATATAAAGTAAATATACAATACCAAAAGCAGGTTTTCAAACACAAGCAAAACACAATCAGAGGAGAGGAGTTTCAGTTTTAGTTTCAGAGATCAGCACAGCATGCAGCTTTAGAACAGTTGACCTAAGCCACGCCCAGGCTCCTTGCTGTCTCCTTCCTTGTTGCTCACACAGCGAATACTGTTTCAGTTTCCAAACAGTCCTCAGCTCCAGGGTGGGTTCTACTTACCTTTACTACTGGTTTGCAATGAGGCCACGTGTGTGCGCTCGCTTCACTCACATGCGCAGAAGCATTTTGATGACGTTGGGGTTGGTGGGCGGAGCCTCCCACCGTTTTTACTACCGGTTCTATAGAACCAGTGCGAACCGGGGGCAACTGGTTCTCACACACTGACAGGATGCTAGCCTGATGAATACTGGCAGGCAGAGGCAGAATTTTTTTTTCTTATTTTCCTCCCCAAAAACTAAGGTGCATCTTATATTCCGGAGAGTCTTACACTCCGAAAAATATGGGGTTCCTCTCTTATTACAGTTGGATGCAGAATTCTTGGCAAGTGAAATGGGTAAATACTTAAGTCCATAAAATGAGAGCTAACATCCTCTGTGCTATCAATCAGAGAAGGATATCAAACTGCAAATAAATAAAGATTACTAGATGAGTAGGAAGCAAAGGCTCGGCCCCTTTCTTCCGTAGCTCTCATTAGTGAAGCTACTTTTTTAAAAGCAATAAATAAAGTATTTCCTAACAATATTTACAGAAACAAAAAAGATAAAATACAAATAGAAAATAGAAAATAACAAAGCAGTCCTTATAACTGGGGCCACTTTGGCTTTCACTTTACAGATATTTACACATACAACTATTACACAGAGAGCAGTGTGATGGCTCAGGGGTAAAGATGCTGGGTTTGTCGGCTGGAAACCTAGCAGCCCAGGTTTGAGACGCGAGTGCCATGCAACAGGGTGAGCTCCCATCCTCACTCCAACTCCTGCCAACCTAGCCATTTGAAAGCATGCAAATGCGAGTATATAAATAGGTACCACTTTGGTGAGAAGGTAATAGCGCTCAGTGACATCATGCTGGCCACATGACCGCAGAAATATCTTCAGATGTCACTACTCATTGGCCTTGAAACGGAGATGAACATTGCCCCCTATAGTCGGCAATTAGTAGCGGAGTAAAATCTCCAAGGACTCCTTTTTATATTAGCCCAAATGTCATTTTGCACATGCATAGAGTCACACACACACACACACCCAAAAAAGGAGGGCAAAAATGTAGTTATAAAAACCGTCCTTATAAAATTGTTTGATCTCTGTTGATCATTTGTTGAGTATGTGAAACGCAGATAACAAAATTGCTATCTTCCTGAGTGCATAATCACAATTTTTTTTCTTAAATGAATCCCTCCACACTAATTGGTCTGATGGCTGTTGTTCTTGGAGATCAATTCTCTCTCTCTCTCTCTCCCTCTCTCTCTCTCTCTCCCTCCCTCCCTCCCTAGGTTTGTGGCTGATGCAAAAGCTGAAGAAATCTGGCTCCCTTTTGCAGCTGACTTTCAGGGACAATGCCGATCTGCGGAAGTGTTTCCTTTACCAGCTTAGCCAAAAAACAGGTGGGTTTTTTTGGAACAGGTAAGGGTGTACCATGCCTGACCCAGGGGTGAAATGCTCCTGGTTTGGACCAGATCGCCCAATCCGGTAGCGATGGCAGCGGATGGTTTGGAGAACCGGTAGCAAAAAACCTTGTGCCCCCCCATGCCCAGCTGAGCCACACGATCATCAGAGGCTTTTTTTTTTTTACTTTTAAAAGCATTTTTTTTTACAACCTCTTCCGGCGAAAAAACGCTTTTAAAAGTAAAAAAAAAAAAAAAGCCTCTGATGATCGTGCGGCTCAGCTGGGATCATCAGAGGCTTTTCAAAGCATTTTTTTCTGCAACCTCTTGGCTGAAGAGGTGGTAAAAAAAATGCTTTGAAAAGACTCTGATGATTCCAGCTGAGTTCCTGATCGGCGGAGAGGCATTTTTAAAAAAGCCTCTCTGACCATCCCAACTGAGTTGCCTGATCGGCAGAGGCTTTTCAAGGCATAAGAAAAAATGCTTTGAAAAGTTTTTTTTTTAAGTTGGCCACGCCCACTCAGTCACATTAAACCCCCCCCCACCAAGCCACGCCCACAGAACTGGTAGTAACAAATTTTACATTTCACCCCTGGCCTGACCCCTTTTGATAGAAAGACACCAACAACATGGGAAAGTGGTTCTTGTGTAACAAGAACAACAGCACTAAAAGAAAAAGTGACTTATGACCGTTTGTCACACTTATGACCATCACAACATTTCCCCCCCCCCATGTGATCAAAATTCTGATGCTTGGCAACTGACTCAGGTTTATGACCATTGTAATGTCTCGGGGTCATGCAATCCTCTTTTGCAACCTTCCGACAAGCAAAGTCAATGGGGAAACCAGCTTCACTTAACAACCGGGTTACTAACTGAACAACTGCCATGATTCACTTAGCAACTGTGGCAAGAAAGGCCGTAAAAATGGGGCAAAGCTCACTTAACAAATGTCTCACTTAGCAACAGAAACGTTGGGCTCAATTGTGGTCAAGTACGTCCTGTATATCTCTTACTATGTGATATTCCAAAATTATCACACAATGGGAAGAACCTAACCCTATTCTTGTTTTTGGATGTAGGAGTTAGTTCCTCAACTTTCTAATCTGAAGAGATCTGCCATCTCTCTCTCTCTCTCTCTCTTGTCTCTATTTCTCTTTCTGTCTCTCTGTCTCTGTCTCTCTCTGTTTGTCTCTCTCTCTCTCTCATTGTCTCTCTCTGTTTCTCTCTCTCTTTGTCTCTCTCTCTGTCTCTCTCTTTCTCTCTCTTGTCTCTCTCTGTTTCTCTCTCTGTCTCTCCGTCTCTGTCTCTGTCTGTCTCTCTCTCTCTCTTTCTCTCTCTCTCTGTCTCTCTCTGTTTCTCTGTTTCTCTCTCTCTGTTTCTCTTTGTCTCTCTCTGTTTCTCTCTGTCTCTGTCTCTGTCTCTCTCTCTCTCTCTCTCTCTTTCTCTCATTCTCTCTCTCTCTCTATATATATATATATATGTTTCTCTCTCTCTCTTTGTCTCTCTCTCTCTTTTGCAGGTCTTCAGTATTTCAAAAATATAGTCCTTGTCGCTTCTCCCCAGGATCGCTATGTGCCATTTCATTCTGCAAGAATCGAAATGTGTAAATCCGCCTTGAAAGACAGACATACAGGTGAGAGTCTCCTTGAACGAGGTATCCACCGCATTCGTTTCAAATTTCTAAGACTATTTTGTCTCCCTAAAATAAGATGGAGTGACATCAGCGAGGGGTTAGGGTTGGGGCTGTCATTTGGCAAACTAAGAGTAATTTTCAAGAATAACCTCCCCCTATTCCTGAAGAGAAAAGATTTTGATCCGTGTGTGCTACCTATGCTGGTGAAACATGGGCACTAACCTCAGAATCGCTACAAAAGCTACAAGTGGTGCAAAGAGCTATGGAAAGATACATGCTCGGCATCACATCACAGTATTCATTTGAAAAGGAAACTATACTACCTATCCTTGTTTTTCCTTCATTTTCAGAAAATGCATATGGGCCTCCAATCACATTTTTTCCTTTATGTTCTCTTGAAGGATACTGTTGTGACCGAGGCCCACGTAGAGATTACCAAACATAATTCAGTCCTGAACAAACTTATTTTATTAAAACAGCTGAGAATTAATTCATTCTCAGCTTAGTCCAAAACAAATTCTTCATAACCAGTCCTATGGCCCTTCCACCAACCTTTGATGTCTTTGGCAACCTGCCAAAGGCTTTTCTTGGCAAACCCCCCACAAAGTTCAAGAGACGCTGACAAGAAGCACTGGAATCAATCTTGCTTTTCTACAAAGAACCCAACAGCTCGTTGCTGCTCTTTTAAGCCTTCTGGGAGCGGCCAATCATCTTCTGGCCTTACTCCTGAGTCGTCCCTTTTGCTTCAGCTGCTCTTCTGGCAACTCTTTGCATGCGTGCACTAGGAACAGGCTCCTCCTGTTCCTCTGTCTCTCTGCTGTCTGCCTCTGGAGGCTCTGGAGTTCACACATTGCTCCCAGATGGCCCTGGCCCCATCTCTGCCTCCGATGCAGAGCCCTCGTCTGGGCCCTCCCCAGACTCCAGGACTGGCCTATTGTCCTCCCCAGCCTCCTCACTGCCTGACTCCGCTGCCAGGTCCACAGACTGCTGGCGGACCACAACAGATATAGAGCAGGGACGTCAAACTCTTGAAATAGGGTTATCAGGATTATGTTTGACCTTGGGGACCGGGGTGGGCGTGGACAGGGTGGGCATGGCCATCTTGATGGCACTCGTGTCAAGGGCGTCTGTAGTGGCTCAAGTATTCTGCCAGTGAAAATGGGCTCCCAGGCTCCAGGTTTGGCAGCAATGGCCTTCTGCAGCCCTCTGCTGACAATAACAGAGCTCAGAGGGGGCTGCCTGTGCCCCCCCCCAGGCTCCGTTTTTTGCTGCAATGGCCTCTTTCAGCCCTCTGCCAGTGAAAATGGAGCTCAGGGGGCTATGCCGTATTTGGCCATGATGGCCTCTTGCCGCCCTCTGCCAGCAAAAGGGGAGCTCGGGGGCTGTGTGTGCCCCCCAAGCTTCATTTTCAGCTGCGACGGCTTCCTGCAGCCTTCTGCCATGCCAGGAAAAATGATGATGCATAAAAATCTTGGTTTCCAGTAAGATACCAGAAGCGTTCCATGGCTTAGGACCTGGTTATCTACAAGACCGCATTCTGCCACCGATTGCCTCCCACCGACCACTACGCTCACACAGAGAGGGCCTCCTCAGGGTGCCGTCAGCCAAACAATGTAGACTGGCGACCCCCAGGGGGAGAGCCTTCTCTGTGGGGGCCCCTGCCCTCTGGAATGAATTACCCCCGGACATACGAAGGATCCCCGACCTCCGCGCCTTCCGTCGTGCAGTGAAGACCCTGTTATTCCAGCAAGCCACTCTGATGGTATAAATGATTTTAATTAGGTGTTAATGGGGTTTTAAAAATTGGTTTTAAAATGAGAGTTTTAAATTTGGCCTATGATTTAATTATTTTAATCTGCTTTTAAATTTTATTTTTGTACGTTGTTTTTATTATGGCTGTTCACCGCCCTGAGTCCTTCGGGAGAAGGGCGGTATTTAAATTAAATTAATTTAAATTAAATTAAATTAAATTAAATTAAATTAAATTAAATTAAATTAAATTAAATTAAATTAAATTAAATTAAATTAAATTAAATTAAATTAAATTAAATTAAATTATAAATTAAATTAAATTAAATTAAATTAAATTAAATTAAATTAAATTATGAATACCCAACAGGAACAGCTCCGGTTTAAGATCAATATGTTGCTGTGTCATTTTCTCTAACCATATTCAATTTTTTGCCCAGTAATTTCTATAAGTCTAGGTGTTACTGCTATTGCTATGGTGTAAGGTCTACTACCTTGAGCAAATGGGTGGACTAGAGGATCTCCCAGGTGCCTTCCAGCCCCATGAGTCTACATTCTATGATATTGCCCAATACATGATGACGATATGCATTTTTTCCCCCAATTTTCCAAGGTCCTGTTTATGCTGAGATGATCAACAACCTTCTCCAGCCCGTCGTGGGAGCGAAAGACTGCACTTTAATCCGTCATAATGTATTCCACGCCTTGCCAAACACAGCTAATACGCTGATTGGACGAGCTGCTCACATAGCTGTTCTGGATTCTGAACTGTTCCTGGAAAAATTCTTTCTCGTGGCAGGACTCAACTATTTTAAATAGGACCGGGAGCCTCAGGGGAGCACAGAATGCTTTGCAGAAAACGGCAACCGTTTCTGAATCAAGGGAGTGCTATATTACCAGGAGAAGGGGGGAAAAAATGGCATAGGCTAATGGTGACATAGCACGCACCTACTCATACCCTATTTATTTGGGGAAAGAATCAAGTGCTTCAGTTACTAAGCATTCAAAGGGCCAACTCTTGGTGCTTTTGAGAAGATGGAAACATCGCCACATTCAGTTTCTTTGTCCTTTCTCTCTTTGGTCATCTACAATTGTCATCTTCAAATGTCAAGAGTCCGATTCCAGATCTGCCTCTATATATCTGTGATGGGATCAGTATTTTTTTTCTTGTCTCCTTCATTAGAAAACCCTCCTAAGACTAAGTCACCTTAGCTGAACTAATCTTGAGTGTAGGTTAACACATGCTGGTGGAAACAACCACGAAGCTCTGGTAAAACAAAAACTCAGTAAAAGCTAGTTGTACATTGTTGTATAACATGGTACAGACACATGATCATGTCCTAAATTTTAAGAGTAAGGGGCCAAGAAAGGACAGAACAGAACAGAACAGAGTGGAAAGCGGAGTTGGAAGGGTCCTGCTCAAGCAGGAAACGCTATATCATTTATCCAATCTTGTTTTAAAAACTTCCAGTGTTGGAGCACCCACAATTTCTGGAGAAAAGTTGTTCCACTGGTTAATTGCTCTAACTGTCAGGAAATTTCTCAGAAAATTCTAGGTTGCTTCTCTCCTTGATTACTTTCTATATATTCCATATCAGGGGTGGGTTCTAATTTTTTTTACTACCAGTTCTGTGGGCGTGGCTTATTTTGTGGGCGTGGCTTGATGGTCATGTGACAATTATTTAGGATTTAGCAGAGATAATGGTCTACCAGGCTTTTAACTGTTTGCAGAGCTCTACCGGTCTACCCATTTATTTTTTGCAGGCACTGATCTACTCATGTATTTTTGCAGGCACTGGTCTACCCATTTGTTTTCTTTTAACACTGATCAGCTGTAGGGCGGCCCTTTGAAGCCCCGGGGCAAGAGTTTAAACAGTTTTTTTCCCTCTAGCCATCAGCTGGGACTCAGGAGGCAGCAATAGATTGAGGGTGGGGCCAAATAAAAAGTAAGAATAACGCTGGGGGTGGGGGGGGCAGGGGGAGCAGAACCGGTTCGGTGACATCATATCATCACCGCTACCGGCTCGGGAGAACCGGGCCGAACCGAGAGGAACCCACCACTGCTCCATATATTGATGAATGCAAGCTGCTGTGAGTTTTCCTGAATGGAGTGGCATCAAAGCCAAAAGATTTGTTCCCCTGATCAATTGTTCTAACTGTCAGGAAATTTCTCCTTAAATTGCTTCTCTCCTTGATTAGTTTCCATCCGTTGCCTCTTGTCCTGCCTTCAGGTGCTTTGGAGAATAGCTTGACTCCCTCTTCTTTGGGGCAACCCCTGAGATATCGGAACACTGCTATCATGTCTCCCCTAGTCCGTCTCTTCATTAAACTAGACAAAGTTTGAAGGTATGAAGATTCAAGCAAACTCGTTAAATACTGCAGTGTGTCCACCAACATTGTAGGTTGACAAATTTTATCTGAGAATTTCTTTTTCTTTATTTAATATATAAAAGACAAAGAAAAATAGAAAGAGGAAATTAGGGGGAAAAGAAAGTGAAGGTACAAGGGGGAAAAGACAGATTTAACAGACAGATTAACAGAGTTGGAAGGGACTTTATAGGTCATCTAGTCCAACCCCCCACTCAAGCAGGAGATCCTACACCCTTTCTGACAAATGGCAGTCCAATCTTTTCTTGAAAGTCTCAAGTGATGATGCTCCCACAACGTCTGAAGGCAACATCTGTTCCATTGGTTGATTGTTCTCACTGTCAGAAAATTCCTCCTTATTTCTAGGTTGAATCTCTCCTTGGTCAGTTTCCATCCATTATTCCTTGTCTGGCCTTCAGGTGCTTTGGAAAATAGCTTGACCCCCTCCTCTCTTTGGCAGCCCCTCAAATATTGGAACATGGCTATCATGTCTTCCCTGGTCCTTCTCTTCATTAGACTAGCCATGCCCAGTTCTTGTAACCGTTCATCATATGTTTTAGTCTCCAGTCCGCTAATCATCCTGGTTGCTCTCCTCTGCATTTTTTCTAGAGTCTCAACATCTTTTTTATAGTGTGGTGACCAAAACTGAATGCAGTACTCTAGGTGTGGTCTTACTAAGGCTTTATAGAGTGGTATTAGTATCTCACTTGATCTTGATTGTATCCCTCTGTTAATGGATCTTAGGATTGCATTGGCTTTTTTGGCTGCTACCACACACTGCTGGCTCATATTTAGCTGATTGTCCGCTAAGACTCCAAGATCCCTCTCACAGTCACTGCTATTAAGCCTGGTTTCACCCAGTTTATATGTGTGCTTTTGGTTTTTCTTACCTAAGTGTAAGACTTTACTTTTCTCTACATTGAATTTCATTTTGTTAGATAGGGCCCAGTGTTCAAGTCTGTCAAGATCCATCTGGATCTTGAGTCTATATTCTAGGGTGTAAGCTATTCCTGCCAGCTTAGTATCATCTGCAAATTTGGTGAGTTCCCCTTCTATTCCCTCATCTAAGTGAACAGATTAAGATTTCATATACATATTATATATATATAGTATATTTTTAGCACAGTACAAGACAAATTTTACCTCAGAATGTAAAGAATGAGGAAAATGTAGCCTCTGTTACCTGAAGGGCAGGAACTAATCTTGGATGATACTAAAAATGGTGTCCTGAGATACAAAAGCCTTTTTTAAGGCAACGTGGCCTAATTCTCCCATTTGCCTTCTCTGAAAAGTGCTATTGTAGAAAAGGCAGTCACAGCAGAGGGTGGAACCTAGCTAATTATGGAACTGGGAAAAGACTAAGCGAAGTGAGGCTGAATGCTCCTGGTTCGGACGGGATCGCCCGATCTGGTAGCGATGGCGGCGGGTGGTTTGGAGAACCGGTAGCAAAAATCCCTTCCCCCCCCCATGCCCAGTTGAGCCGCGCAATCATCAGAGGCTTTTTTAAAAAAATTTTAAAAGCATTTTTCTACAACCTCTTCCTCTGAAAAAATGCTTTAAAAAAAAAAAACCTCTGATGATTGTGCAACTCAGCTGGGATTGTCAGAGGCTTTTAAAACATTCTTTTTACAACCTCTTCAGCCGAATGTATAGAGCAGTAAACCAAAAAAATGTATTGATCTCTATCAAATCCACATCGCGCAGGTCCCTTTTTGTTTCTCCATCCTTGAACTTCAGTCTTTCTTCTCTAATTTTTACATTGCACACGTGCGCAGAGGGCATGCACGGAAGGCTGGATGCATGCATGGAAGGCACCCGTGCGAAGTGAGCATGCATGCATGGGCCGAACCGGTGCTAAGAACATTGGAAACCCACCACTGTACATGACATGCACAGTGCATTCCCCAATTCTACATAGAGTTACTCAGAGCATCATTCAGATAGATTCAGAAGTTTATCTTTTCACTGCATGATGTGGGACAGCAGAACACATCATTGTGTGTGTGTGTATTAGACTCACGTCCATAAACTATTAGTCCAGAAAGGTGTGACAGTCCAGAAAATGTGCCCTATGTTAAATCATATTCAGACTAACACACATTGCATAGTCTTAAGATGTTAATATCTTCAAGTCTTTAAAAAGATGTCAGATTGTGTATCTATACCCACTCAGTATTTACTGGTCCCATTATCCTGACCACGGAATACAGATAATTCTCTGAAACGTATGTCAACCATCTACCGACATCAGCAAAAAGCTAGTATTTGTAAATGTTTCCTATTGATCCTAAATGGATCAATTTGAGCTTCGTTCTTTCCAGCCAAGAAAAATTCATGGATCTCGGACATTATCTGACAAATCCAGAAATCCCCTGTGGGCCATTTGCAGGTCTCTCTTCTTTCTTAAGAACGGATGTGGATTCCATCTTCACAAATGCTGCCACAATTGTGTTAAATTTACAGGCAATAATAATAATCTGGTCTGCTGAAGAATTTCAGCTAACAGATTTTGTTTCTTTCCCTCTGTTTTTTTTTTTTAAACTGGGATGCTGTCTTTGTAAAGATAATTCTATAATCCTGTCTTATGTGAAGAAATAAACAATATTTATGCTTATCTACTTGTACAAAAACCTCACAAGATACCTGCCTTGTACAGAAAAAAGAAGAAGAAGAAGAAGCTTCTAAAACTGTTGGAACACTGCTAAGACATTATATGGCCTCCTTTGAAAAGGCTTTCAAGATGTCTCTTTCTGTGTAAATATGACCTTGTTAATCTCTGTTCAGCTCAAATGTCGGGGGAGCATTTACTGTATCTATGTCCCTGGATGTCTTCATCAACATCTGATTTCTCTGATCCTGTTTTCTTTCTTTCTTTCTTTCTTTCTTTCTTTCTTTCTTTCTTTCTTTTCTTTTCTTTCTTTCTTTCTTTCTTCCTTCCTTCCTTCCTTCCTTCCTTCCTTCCTTCTGTTATTCCTTTCTTCCTTTATTTCTTTCCCTCCCTTCCTCCCTCCCTCTCTTCCTTCCTTCCTTCCTGTCTTCCTTCCTTCCTTTCTTCCTTCCTTCTGTTATTCCTTTCTTCCTTTATTTCTTTCCCTCCCTCCCTCTTCATTCCTTCCTTCCTTTCTTCCTTCCTTTCTTCCTTCCTTCTGTTATTCCTTTCTTCCTTTATTTCTTTCCCTCCCTCCCTCCCTCCCTCTTCCTTCCTTCCTTCCTTCCTTCCTTCCTTCCTTCCTTCCTTCCTTCCTTCCTTCTGTTATTCCTTTCTTCCTTTATTTCTTTCCCTTCCTCCCTCCCTCCCTCCCTCCTTCCTTCCTTCCTTCCTTCCTTCCTTCCTCACTTCCTTCCTTCCTTCCTTCCTTCCTACTGTATATTGCAAGTTGTGGGGGGGGGAATTCTATAAATAATGTGGATAACTACTTTAAGCTTTCAGGTTGACCTGGTTACAACTGAAGCAGATAAAACATATTATATATTACACTGAATGTAATATATAATGTGATATATTTATATATATATAAAATTTCTCTAATATATATTACACTGAATGTAATATATATTAGAGAAATTTGGGGTCCTTGTTGCTCTGTGAGCCTGTCTGTTTTCTTGCAGACATTTCATTACCAAACTGCATAACGTGATCAGCCCTAGAAGGGAGTGGGATTTGCTCTCTGGCACTGATCATTTCACTGAGCTTGGTAATGAAACATCTGCAAGAAAACAGCCAAGCTCAGAGAGCGCTGAGGACCCCACAGTTCAATCCTTAGCTACAAATATTCTCTTCTATTGGTAATTAGATAAATGAGAAGCAGCACCGGATCAATTTGAATAAATTGATCTGTGATTGTAGGATGACAATTCCACGAGGGTCGAATGCAGACAAACATGCGTGAACAAACTGCAAACCAGCAAGGTCTCCATTCTTCTTACAAGTACGGATGACATCAGTCTTCTAATGTATCATATGATGCAGACTGGAATATATATTTTTACCTGCTACCGGCGAGGTTGTTATCCACACCTGTGCAATATTTTTTCTGCCTGCAAATATCTCTGGGTTGTAGAGTACATAAGGACATCTGTCCTTGTTATAGAACTTTGACTTGAGGCCTAATGAGAAGTAGTACCAGGAAATGCACCCCGACTCCTTAGATAGGAGAAAATATATACATCTCTTGTTCCTCCCTTTCTTTGTCTATTTCATGTGGAATCTATGATGTTTTGCCTGATAAATGACTCTCCAACTAATGCAGACCTCTCCATGAGATCATGCCAATGAAACTCAGTGGAATAATTGGAACAGGCTTAGAGAAAGGGCTTTTAATGGTCTAAAGCAGTTTTTTTCCCCTCAGTCTTGGCAAGTTTAAGACATCTGGACTTCAATACCAAGAGTTCCCCAGTTAACATGCTGGCTTGGAGAATTCTGGGAGTTGAAGTCCAGACATCTTAAAGTTGCCAAGGCCATGAAAAAGAAAAAACTTGTCTAAAGGACTATCTCTGAATCTTGATCACTCTTAAAGCATAAGAGCAATTGATCCCTCATCTATCCATAATTGTAGATGTAAAGCTTAGAATGACACTGTGAAATTTTAATGCTT